TGCGTGCTTTTTCCCCTGGAAATGGGCAGAGGCTTCACCAGTGATGTAACCGAGAGCATATTTGGGTCCCCCAACACATCATGCAGCCAAATAATGCAGAATAACGCCAGGTTTAATAATGCTGTTTCAGAATTATTAGATACAAAGCTTTCTGGAAGCAGGAGGGGTGGCACCTGCAGACAGTGTCATTGCCCCATAGCCAAACATTGCCCCTTCTTAACGTGGTCCAGGGAGGATGACGGCACCTCAGCATCCTCATGGAGAAGCATAATCCATGGCATATCCAATATGGATTCACAGGAATGCCCTAAGGACACGGTGGCCACCTAAGTGCCTAACTTTGGTGCATGGTCCTCGTGCCCTTGCCGGGGCAGCTCCCCTTGCAGGGCTGGGGTTTCGGGCGAGATGCTCTCGGCTGCCAAGTGCATCCGTGGTGCTCCGTGCTCGTTAAAGGGCTTAACCTCATTATCTTGAGAGGTGCAACCGCTTGTCCCCGGCACGCGGCCGTGACCGTAACGTGGCCTGACACGGGCTCCCCGGCTGCGGCTAGGAGGTCTCGGGGCCGATCTGTGTCAGATGTTCACTGGGGAGGGTTTTAACCCTTTCCTATTCCCGTGGAGTATTTGGAGAAAAGGAAGGAGCCACACGTGCCTGCCCTTTCTTGTTGGGTTTCAGGAGCAAAATCCAGCTTTTGCACCGGATTTTTGTGCTCCTGATGTGCAGACCGGTTGCTCCAGCCCCTAGCGAGGCAGAGTCCCATAACATCCCCTGCAAACCTCCCACCAGAGCCCTCTCTGGACTCTCCAGCTCTAATTACAGCTCGAGAACAGCACCGAGTGGCAATTAACACTGCAGTTGTGTTTTTGTAAGAGCAGGTTTGCAGCTCCCGTAGCGAGATGCTCAGCTTTGTGCCTGCTGCGGGAAAACGGTTGGGATTCATCCAGTGGTTGGGATTCATCTGCCATCCTGGGGGATGAGTGTCCAGGAATCCGGGAAGCCCAAGTGACATCCTGGGGTGCCGTCCCATGCAGCCCGAGGCCGAAGGCCGCGTGCCGAGCTGAAAGGGCAGCTGCTTGGGAGCTGGTGGCTCGCCAGGGTTGATGTGGTTCCTGCTGGCTTGTATCAGGGAGCCCTTGTGCGGTTTCAAATCCCTTTGGAGTGTAAATCAAAATCCACCAAAGGTGCCCCCCAAATGCTGCTTTCAGCACCCTGTTTTCCAGGGCTGCGGAAACCACTGTGGAAACCTTTGGGGAAGGTCCATCCACTCTGGAAAGGCTGAAACCACTTTTTAAAAGGGGTTAATATTATTTAATAAGTGTTTCTCAGCATCCAGGTGGGTGGAATGAGGATGCTGGCCACAGGAGAGCATCCCGGCATGGGAGAACCAAACAGCTCTGCGAGCATCACCAGGTCACTGCTCGTCCTCAACACCCAAAGGGAAAACGTGGTGCTGAGTCTTGGCTCCTTCTGCTTTGCAGGGGCTGCTGCTCTTGCGTCACAGGGATTTGCAGCCGTGGTCTCAGCGGGTGATTCAGCACTGCAGGAGCTGCTTGCATCAGGAGGTGCTGGATTAAGGGATTCTCTGCGACATCCGTGGGATGCTCCGGGGGTGCTGCAGCCTGGGGAGACAACGATGCACTAGTTGCAGTTTCAGTATCTTAACGTGTGCAATAAACCTTGTGGGTGCTGTGCAATAGGCAGGAGCTTGTGGGGAGCATAAATGAGCCACAGTGAGGACCTGGCGCTCGTATTTTTTGCAATTTGTGCTGGCTATGCTGGTGCATTGAGCAAATGACTTCCAAACTTGGGGCCAGTGCAAGTGCGGTGCTAACTGGAGGCCAGGTATGTGCACAGGGAGGCGATGGGAGGCTGAAGGAGTCTCGTGACATGTTGGCTTGCAGATAACAGGCCGTGGCTGTGCGCAGCGCTGCATACCTGATGCAAATGGGTGCAAAGTGCTCGGAATTGGCCCCGGGTCTGTTTTTCCATCCGCACCAGCGCGGATGGCGAATGCACAAGGTGAGCGGACACCTCTGAGCGCTGTCCCCTGCAGCAGGGCATGTGCAGGGCAGCGAGCAGACTTGGCACGGCCTTACGTGCAAATAGCTCTGCGCCTGCAAACGCGCACACTGGGCATTGCTCCGAGCCTGGTGCTTCCCGCTGGCATCTCTTAAAACCTTAATTAAACCTGCCACCCAAGAAGAGGGAGTGCAGAGATGTGGTGAGATCGAGGTTTCCGTTCAGGCTGAGAGCTCCGGGTTTGCTTGGAAGCAAATATTGACCTGTCTGGGGACATGCATGTTCGCTGCATCCCTTGGAATCCCAGTGGGAATGCGTGGAGATCCAGGTGCTCTTGTGGCACACAGAGAGGTTGGGGAGTTTCTCATGTGCAAAGTGTTTTCCAGCTCAGCTGGCTCTGTTTGTTTTTTCAAGCAACAAGAGGGTTTATTTTCGAGTTTTCTCGATGCACAGCAATACTGCCAAAAATAAACAATGACAGGGGAAGTAGAAGAGCAGTCAGCATAATTAATTATTTTTGTTTTGCTTTAGTTTATTTTTAAATCTTCAGAAAACTATGGCATTAGGGAAGGGGAAAATGGCTTTTCTTGTGGTGCTATGAGGTTTTATGATGATGGGGTTTGTTTGCAAAAATCCCATTTCTTTATCCAACCAGGATTCTTGCAAAGGGATGAGTGAATTTGAAGAGGTCAGTTTGGGACTCCTGGTTTTCTTTCTGGGAAGCTTGGTGATTTCTGGAAAGCGGGGGCTTTGGGACTCTTTGCCAACATACCAGTGGGTAAATGATCAACTGGATCAATTGAGCCTGGCTGGTGTCAAAGGTACAAGGCAAGTTGGAAGGTTGGGAATGCAATCCGTGTCCTTCACCTTGCATGGGAAAATGCTATTGGAAGTGCTTGGAGTGGCCTCATGCTTCATGCTTTTGTGCTGGCTTTGGGAGGGGGATCCCAAAGGACTGAACTTCAGCGGTAGGTAGGGTAAATCACAAGTTTTTTGGGGGGAATTTTGGGGAGGTTTTGGTTTTACTGCCTTGTGAAAGGCCAAAGAGTTTCTGCATCGCCAGGCTGCAATAAGAGCTCGGAAGGGTATAAATACCCCAGAACTATGGTTTCACATAATGTCAGAGCTGTCTGAGTTGCATTAATGTGTCCCGACGTCACAGATCGAACCATAAGCCCCAAACGAGGTCAGGGACCTTCTGTGTCCACCCGCTGTCCCCCTGCCCGGTGCATGGCAGAAAAGCCCAGCTGGGAGCTGTGGTTCTTGGTGAACGAGATGCTATTTTAGCAGAGAAAATGAGATACCGTTTATCAAACGCTTAAGGATTTGCTTAGTTTAAAGCACGTTGTTGAATCCTGTTGAAAGGGAGAGGATTACCCATGCTTAAAGGCTTCTCCGGATGGAACTTCTTGCAGGAGCTGGAGCTTTTTCTGTTCCCAGCTGGCCAGAGATGCTAGTGCGAGGCTGGAGCTGGGTGCTGGGGCTGTCTGGGTGTGTTTTGGCCGCTCTTTGTACCTGTTCTCTCCTTTAAAAAAAGGAAATAATCAATTTTGCATCAGTACCTGAGGATGGTTAGGTTGGAATCTAATTGCAGACAACCGAGTGGTGCATTGGGGTTGCTGCTGGAGCTGGTCCCGGCTTTGATGTGCCGGGATGTTGGGAGACGGAGGGGTTTTGCAAAAGAGCAAAGCAAAAATAGCTGGCGTCCCCCGCGGCCTGCTTTTCTCTCAGGTTTCCCTGGAAATCGCACGCGGCGGTGTGATTCATTGACTGGGTTTTGTGCTTTATAAGTCTAATTATAGAGCACGGAAGAGTCTCATTCCGTCAGTCTAGGGCTTCCCTGGGACTATTTTGGGAAGCGAGCGGTGTTGGGACGTCGGCAACACTCGGGTGCCATGTGTGCAGGTGCCACGTGTGGCCCCGGAGCCCTTGGAATGCTCACGGGCCACGTCTCAGCCCTCTCCAAAAACCGGGAAAAAATAAACCCTGCTGCTTTTGCAGGTCGCAGATGGAATAACCTCCCTGAAGTGGTTTTCCTGGTTGTTCTCGCTTATTTTTCTAAGGGACATTCAGCATTATTTAACAGTGTACATTAAAGTGACAGCTGGAGCATCTGTCCTTCAAAGTGGTGGCATCTATGAGGACGCTTTGGCAGCGAGAGGAAAAACGCCCCCGTTTGCTCCGGAGTCGCTTTTGTGCCGCGGGTGACATTTAATAGCAGGGAGAAACTTGGCCGCGTTTGCCCGTTCGGAGGCTCGTTGGAGCTGTTGAATAATTCAGCATCCCTGCACTCGTCCCCTGCTAAATGCCAAGCAGGGGCAGAGTGTCGAGAGCCGGTGGGTTCCTCTGAGGGGCTCCACATTCCCAAGGATACTGAGCAAAACCTCGGAGCATCTCGTGGAAGCAGGAGGTAGCAGGAGGATCAGATTTGCTGTGTTCATTGAGAATCCTACCTAGCAATTAAAATGCAAGCAGCGGAGCAAAAGGAGAGTTTTTCCTAAGAAGGTGGTGGCTCTGCCCTTCCTGCTTGCAGCGTTGCTGGAAGTATTTCACTGTGGAAGCCACTTTTGGCTGTTTTCTGCTAGGAAGGACGAGCGCTGTCCTCCAGCGGAGATGATGCATCCTTGTTGAAATGCAGGGAGTCGAAACCTTTCGATGTCGGTAGATTTGCCTCAATAAACTCCTCTTGCGCAGCAAAAGAGCCGAGGAGTTGGAAGCCTTTGGTAACAAAATGCAAAACGGCAGTTTTCGGAGGTGCTGAGTCTTGCGTAAAACCAGCTCAAGTCAACCTGGATCTGTAACGAGCTGCACGGTGGTGCTTGCTGGGTGGCAGCTGTGCTCATTCCCAGGGCACGGAGCACTCCTGCTTTAGCCCGTATCCATGGATCCCAGTGCCCCACCGTGATTCCCCACGTTCCCGCCAAAGCTTCCCATGTTTCCAACAGTCACAGCAGAGTTTTCTCTTTTTCTCTCGTTCCCAGGTGATATCTGCGGTATCCCGGCTCTCCTTCCACAGTATTGCACAAACCAAAGGAATTAGGTAAGATCCTTGCAAAGTGATGCTTCCGATGATGTTCCTGTCTCTCCTCTGCATTTAATCACATCTGACTCTCCTCATTATGGCTGGGACTGTTATATTGTGGTAAACAGCTATCAAGGGGGCTGCCTTTGGCTGCAATGTTCTTGCAGCAGCACCTTGCTAGCTGCCCAGGGACACTTTGCAAATGTATTTTTCCTTCCATGCATGTGTTTTTTCCCTCCCAGTTATAAAACACGCTTCTTTTCCTCCACAAACCGGTCCCAGTGCTGTGCTGGGTAGGTAAGGTGCAGCCCAGCAATGGGTCAAATGGTAAAAACAGCAAACGTTGTCTGTCCCATCAGCTTGAAAGCATCGCATCTGGTTGCCGCCGGCCCTCGTGTGTTTTGTCTTTTGTTGTTGTTTTTAATTAGATGGTTTCTTGGAGCATCGTTAGTAACGCTGTTGGATGGGGTAGGAGCTGGACTGCGTGGGCTTTGCTCCTGTAGCCTGAGCACAGCTCTGCTTCAAGCGGGGTTTTAGGTCTAGGGCTGCACGACCATGCAGAGGAAGAATAAAATAAATCCCCAAGGCTATTATTTGTCCTCAAATATGTTGCACAGCACGCAGGAGAGAAAAATAAAAATGAATCTTATGCGTTACTCGGCGGGGAAAAAAGTCATCTTGCTGTCTAATAATTTCTGGATATGTGAGCCCTGCCAGAGAAGCCCTGTTTCCTGGAGTAAATCAGATAGCTATCAGGATAGCTGAGATGACAGGGTGTTTCTTCCAAGGAACAAGCTACAAATAGCGAAACATGGCAGAAAATGATCCTGAATGCAATGTTTTGTTTGCACTGCGAAGGTTGGGCTTAATATCTTGCAGCTGTAGCTACAGCCCGTGCTGTGGGTTTTCTCCTCCTGCTCGGCAGTAATTTCAATTATTCCGGGTTTCGGGTCTCCCTTGGGAACACAGTGTCGCCCTTCAGCTCGTTGCTGGATGCAGAAGCGAGCACCCTGCTCCGTGCCTGTGCTCGGCAGCCTCCTGAACAAGGAGGCTTTATTTTGCATCTGGGAAACTGGGATTTTTCCACTGCGGGTCTGACTCATGGCCAGTGCAGCCCGTTATCCGCTTCCTCGACTGGCACTGGCCGCATCCAAGTTGGGCGCGAGAAGAAATAAATACAAACGTGTATATATACATGTATATATTTATATACGCTTTTATTATATAGAGAGAGTATATATATAAAGGCTCTATATTTATATATATCTATATGTGTGTATATATATAAAAAAGCTCTGCAGTGCGAACTTTCCTCCCCTTTCCATGTATCCTCCAGCAAAATTGCAGCTCTCCGGAGGGTCCTAAGGATTTTTGCTGCAGTTCTCACTAGACCTGGATTTTTTCCTATGGAAGTTTTCCTGGTGAGCCTTTCCACTGCTGAGAGCAGTGAGCTTTTCATCTCCCCGAGATGCATGTTTTTCCTGGAAGAGGGAGTTTGGCAAGCGCGCGGGAGAATAAGGAGCACTGGCTGCTGCTGCTGTCATGCTTTTTTGGGCATGCGCTGCAAAGCTATCCGAAAACAGGAAGGCATTAGCGTGTTCAAAGGCCTTTTCCCAACATCTTTTCCCAACAGAAGGCACTGCATTGAGTAAAATATATTTTGAAAAGATTTGCAAAGGGAGAAAGGAAGGGTGCAAAAGTGCATTAAAAGTCGCCTGTGCAAGGGAACTGCCTTGCAGATGCACATGGTGACTTTGCAGAGTGATCCTGGGAAACTCTTCCATGTCCTCAGTGGTCCTTGTGGTCTCCAATGGACCCAGCTCGCGTGGTCCTTGCAAGGGAGGTTTTAAAGGAGATGTGATCCGAGCAGACCTTCCTGGGAGGACCTCGGAGTCCAGGATCCCTCCGCTTGCCAATAAGCAGGATTCTGTGCTAAAAAAGCTGTTTCTTTTCAGCGAGAAAAACCTTCTTTAACACATTTATTTTGGCAAGCGCGCAGGCTCGCTGAGAAACATCGCTGCTGCGTTTCCCTGCGCTGCCCTTTGCCGCTGGGGCAATGCTCGAGTCCCACCATAAGGTCCTCTCGTAGATCCGCTTCTCCGGCCTCTTCCCGCAGCTTTGCAGGATGGAGCTGCCGTCTCCAAGTGCATGGCACTGTTTTCCAGCCGCGATATCTCCAAGCCTTTTGCCCATCCTTTTTGGTGAGTCAGAGCAAGCCCGAGTGATTGCTCATGCCCCAACCCTGGGGGATTTTTTTCCTCCTATTTTTTTAAAGATGTTTCTAGATTCCCCTTTTGACTTCCTCCATCTGTTCTTGCCAGAGCGGAGCTGGAGCGCGCAGAGGATCCTGCCGCTTTCCCAAGCTGGTACACGAGAAATCTTTTTAAGTGCGATAATGTGTCGAAACATAAAATTATACGAGCTGTGATTTTCTTGTCTCATAGCCTCCAGAAACACTGGGTTCCGATTGGAGCTCGAGATAAACCCGGGTACGAAGCCAACCCTTGGGCACTGCGCATGCGGTTCTCCTGCAGAACCGTCATCTCGGGGTTATCCCGTTACGCCGCTTCTCCCCCACCGAATTTCTACCCGAATGAGTCTTGCGAGAAGTTTTGCAAGTTCCAGACCGCAAATGAAAGCAAATAATTTTTAAGGGGACTTGTCGGAGAGTTGGCTTGATAGGAGGTGGTGCTTTCCAGAGATGAGTCATGTAGCGCAGCGGTATGATTTTAATTAAATTCAGCAGCTTTTTGGTATGCTCCAAAGTGCCTCGTTCTGGAGGGAGGATTGAGTCCACTCTGACGTGCCAGACCCTTTGGAAGTCACGATGCTGCTGGAGCATCTTGGTCTTGCCCCGTTGCTCCCTTTGGGAGGCTGCAGTTTGGATACAGGGTGACCCACGTGGCCATCGCTCTTGGGGACGTTTGCCCGTGTCACATGTGGGATCGATGCCACTTGCACTCAGTTCTTTGATCTCTGCAAACACGGGGATTTTGTCTGCCGAGGAGCCTTCTCTGCAAGGCTTGGGATGCCAAAGAGCATCTTGCAGCGAGGTGGGAAGTTGCTTGGGGTTTTCAGAGGGATAGGGCTTGCTGCAGGCAGGCCCAGCCTTGGAGGGTACATGGATTACTAGGTGCTTTTAAGGGATGCTGGAGTGGAAAGGCTAGTTCTCAATTAATGACGATAAATAAGAGTGATTTTCCAATGCATGCAAACGAACATTGTAAAACTGTTGGGCTTTGGTTGACTCGCAGGCCTGGGCTCTGGCAGAGTGGGATATTCCCGGTCATTCTGCAAAAATGCAATTAATATTATCAACTTGCAATACATCTGAGAGTGTTAAGGCACCCGCCACACCATTCCGTTCTTCTAAAACTGAGACTGGTCCCCAGCAGCCCCAGGGATGCTCCGGTGCGAGCAGGACTTTCCCTCCTGGCCACTCCGGTCTGTCTCTGCAGCCCACTTGGTCGGAGCGTTGCTTCCATCGGGAAGTGGGAGGCTGATCCCATGGGAAGCGGCAGCGGAGGCTGCATGCTGCACGATGGAAGGGGCAAGGTCTGGCGCGAGCGTCCCGGTGACCCGCGGGAGCAGACCCTGGAAAAGCGCTGGGAAAAATGCCTTGTGATAGATGGCTATCAGGGGCTTTCTATAAAAGACTCTGTGAAGTCAGAGAATTAATTTTTCTTATATTTGTTGAAGAGAAGTAACACATATGGATATAGAGAGGAACGCAAACCAAAAATAAGGAGAGATTTTAAATAAATTCCCTTCTAGGGAAGGGGAGATGAAGGCAGCTTGCTGCAGCATGAGGAGCAGCCAGGGCCAAAGCACAAATCCAGGGCTTTCTCCAGAAGAAGTCCTTCAGCTCCACATTTTAGCTGCTCCATTTAGCAAACGGCTCCTCAGTGTGACTCTCCTTTTCATTCTTCCTTATTTCAGCCGTTAGCAGCTCTTGCATGGACACAGGTTATTAATTCCTCCTCTGGCTTGTCCTCCGGTGCTTTGCCCGCAGCCAGGGTGACGTTTTCTCACTCTTTGGTGTCTCCTTGTTTTACAGAAGCGTTTTTATCCTAGGAATCGATTACACCTCAAGCGCATGTTTGCATCTGGAAATGTGCTCTTGTGATTTCAAAATTCTTTAAATTCTTTTAAAATTTGTTTTAAATTCTTTTACTTCTTTCTTTCTGGTGTGGTCAGTGTTGGTGAAGGGAAGGGGCAGAGATGAAAAGCGGGAGGGACCCTTTGGAGACCCTTTGGAGAAAGGAACCCCATTCTCCTGCCTTGTTCTACCATGTGCTCAAGGAGCTGGTGGCTTTTTGTCCAGGGTTGACCTGACACTTGCATTAGTCATAGACCCTTGGGGACAGCAGGGAGGGGACATAGAGACACGTGGCTGTGTTTGCTAAAGGTCCTCGGTGTCTTCTCACTGCGCCTCCGTGCTCTGAAGCTTCTCTGCAAACTGTGGAGAGTTTCCCTGAACATCTGGCTCCGGCAGATGTTGGGGCATCCTCTCCTGTGCCAGGAGGGCGGCTGCTCCTCTCCCCTGGGCCTTGGTGGCACCTGGTCTCACCCAAGCTTGGTTTGGAGACACGGGAGAGGGAAGCAGAGGAGGGAGAGGGCGAGTTATTGCGAGAAACCACATCCAAAAATAGCAAGTTCTGGAGCTAGCCATGAATCCTAAATCTTTCAGGAGAGGCAGTTTATCGTGAAACGGGGAGGGGGAAGCTTGGGGGCAGCGGGAAGTTTCCATATTCCCAGTTTTCCTCGCCCACGACACGAGCATCCGACAGCACCACGCTTTTGGCAGGGTGGTACCATGGCCTGTCCTGGCTCCATGCACCAGTAACACATCAGCTTTAATTAACACAATGTCATTTCATTCCGTTCCTATGTTATTTGCCAGTGTCTTCTCAGGAGTGAAGCCTCCATAGAAACAAGGGGATTTGGATGAGGGTTTAGCCCTGGGAAAGCCTTGATGTGATGCTCCAGGCCAGGCTCGGCTGCTGCAGGGGGTCGGGAACACCAATAACGCTGTCGCTTGTCTCCTTCCTAGGCCTTTCCCTTCGGAGGAGACCACAGAGAACGATGACGATGTCTATCGGAGCCTGGAGGAGCTGGCGGAGTAAGCGAGGCTGCCTTTGGGATGGAGGGCATGAAAAATAGGGATGGGGGATAAAATAGAGCAGAGTGGCTTGGAGAGTGGGGCCTTGAGCTGCTACACAGGAGATCTCCGTGCTCGTGGAGTGGTTTTTATAGGGATTGTCCCCACGTAGCACCCTGGCAGATGTGGCTTCTCATGGGGCTCATTGCGGGTGGCTGGGTGGGATCAGGGAGCCCTTCCCAGGCCCAATCCCCTCTTTAATCCTGGGGTGCCGCTTCCCAAGTCAACCCTGCATCCCATTCAGGGCCATCCCCAGATGATTCAGGGTCGTCCTCAGAAGATTCCCATCTCCTGGGAACGCCAGGGGTTTCCTGCTCCTATATTTATCCACGGCCCTGGCGCCTGCGCTCTGCTGTTCCTCAGCTGTGGTGATGATATAACCATCTTTTAAACAACCTTGAACCAAAATATATACGGTGAAGTGCTGGCCCTATTGGAATCCGATGGCAATATTCCCGCCGGCTCCCGCGGGACCACGAGGTCTCTTATAAAGTGAATTGCGCTTCATATGGAGAGCAAATCTGCAGGGGTGGGTATGTGGCTCGTAGCGTTAAATATCATCGTTCCACAACGTAAATAATAAGGCTTCTTAATCCAATGAGTTCCTTATGGCTTCGGTTATTACAGAAGTAAATCATAAGTTATGAGGATGTAGACCGGGGCTGTGCCAGGATTCCCAACTCGTGGTTTGGTGCTCACCGCTTCAGTTTAACAAATTCCAACTTCCATATGAGTTTCTCATTATCCCGAGGGAGCTGCACGGGAAGAGCAGCCTCCCAGACAGCAGCTTTTTGGGCAGTTCGCCGCTAGAATAAAAAGCTTGGGCTAGATGTGGAGCTGGTGCAAACCAGGTGTTTTGGGGCAGCAGAGCGAGATGAAGCGTTTCTCAAGCGCGCTGAAGAAACAGTGATGAATAGGGGCCCCAATGTGCGATGATGAGTTACCTGCCACTTTTCTCATTATTTTTGCTATGTTGGAGAAACCACGCATGCCAGCCCGTTAAACAAATGACTCTGTGGGAGCAGGCATCTAAGCCATAGCAATTGCAAACACGTCCTGCTGTCTTTGTCACCGGTGAAGAGTTGTCCGTGTCGTGCTGGTGCCACCTCCAAGTTGCTCCTGGTTGGTGCAGGTGTTGGTGGTTTGTTTTGGGGATTGTCGGGTTCTGCTTTCAAGGGGGAGTGCGCGATCCTGAGCGGAATAGGTGGGAAAGGCCATTTTCTCTTGCTGTTTCCAAAGACACCATCTAAGTTCAAGGAAGTCTCAAAGCTTGAGGCCAGGGACTGCACCGCGCATCTTCTGCTCTCCCATCTTGGACCTGTCAGGTGTGCTGTAAATGCAGGACCTGCGCTCGTTAGAGACCATGAATGAGGGGTTTGCTTGCATGAGCTGCCTGTTCATAGCTCTAAGTGCAGAGGAAGGATGGGAAAGTGCAGGGTTGTTGGGTGAGTGGAGATGGGCCAAGCAGGGCCTTCCAAACCTGCTGCATCTCCTGCCCTCCTGGACCAGAGCTCTGGGAACATGGAATGGGGCTTGGTTGGCCTGTTGTAGGTGCCTCTTCCTCCTCCCCTCCCAAGGGCTTGGTGTGGTCTGATGTCCCCAGGACTTGGGCTGAGCTGGTTTGGGACCTGTCCCGAAACAGAGCAACAGGCTGGTGGAAACCCATTGACTTCCCTGACTCCTGGAGCACCACCGAGCTCCTCTGATGGTCCTGGAGTTTCCGAGCTCATCCTCTTCAGGATAATATTGGAAATGGGATGTGCAACGTTGATTTAATGAAGCAAGACAGACCTGCTGCAAGAGGATTTTCCACCTGTGCCCAGTCCTTGAGGTGGCCGTTCCCCTCGGACAGTGCTGCAAGCTCAGCCCCGCTCTGGTGACCACCCAGCTCTTCGTTCTTTTGTTCTCAGCAGCCTTTTCTCTCCAGCCAAGATGCTGCCAGGTCAGCCAGTCCAAAGCTGCCTGTCTCCATCCTAACAAGCGGATTGCAAATGCTAGGATCAGCTCCGGAGGGGGCATAACATCCCTTTCCGACCCCAGAGCTGTCCGTGAAGCTCCTAATCCTGACAGTAGATCATAAGCTCTGATGCACAGGGATAACTCAGTTTCTCAGGGTTTTATTCAAGGTAAATTGCTGTTGTTTTTGGTGGGGAAAAAAAAGATGCAGGGATCTGACCTTCTATGCTCAAGGGATATTTGCTGTTTATTCCCTTGGGAAAGGAAACAGAGCTGGGAAGGGGGTTGCACTGGTGCAAGGGCCACGCAGGGCAGGAGTTGGTCTATATTGGCAATGCCTGCAGGGTGGTGACATGTGGGATGCATCCGGTTGTGACATGTGGGATGCATCCGATGGTGCCGGAGCCGCTGCTCCATGGGCACTTTGCAGCATTCCCACTTGCTCCTGGCTTCCCTCTTCTTCCTTTCGCTCCTCTGCCCCCAAAACGCATCCAGACGGACCAGGAATGCCTGTCGCAACGTTAACTCCACCGTATGGTTCCTGAGGACCTACTGTGCAGAGGAATGATGTATGGAGAGGCAGCCGGTGATGTGAAAGGTGCACGTGGGAATGGAAGATTAATCAGGAACCGGGAGTTACTTGCTCTGGATAAGGAGAGGAGCTCAGCATATAAATATTGGTGTAGATAATAACGGCAGGAGCCGCACTAGGGAAGGCGAAGATGGATCGCCAGCTATTAGCGGGCATTATTGCAACAGCTGCAATGCATCAGTCTGGAAGAACCTAGATGATACATCATGCCAGTGCATTTATTTAAACCTCCCAAGCTTTTATTAAATAAATCTGCTCTTTAAAAATAGAAAGAGCTGCATTTCGAGGAGCAACGGAGACTGCTTTGGCAAATATACGTGCCTGTGCCACTTGGTGCTGAGCGTATAACGCAGAGATAGTGAGTGTTGCAGTCTGAGTGGAGTTTTACAGCTAATATTTGTATGCAATTAATACATATCTTGAAAAAGACAGCTCTTAAAACGTCAGGAAGCTGTTTGATATTGCAGTGTTTTGCTCAGTCCTCGTCCCAAAGCCTGACTTGATCGGGAACAACTAGCAGTCTGCACCTGTAGGTCCAAATAATAGTATTTTATTTTTAGCTAATATTTATTACGGGTTGTATTTTCAAAAACACTCTATGGCTTAGGTGGTGCTGCAGGGACGTTTGTAGGGACTCCAATGAATATTAAGTACCCAACACCATGAGCTTTGCATTAAAGCTGGACGTTGCATCTCATCTCCGCTCGCAAAGACAGCTCCGGAGCCCAGTGATGGCTTCATCCTTTGCAAATGTCCATGTGCACTAGGACACCTCATGGGAGGTGTCTGCAGAGCGAGACGTTTTTCTCTATTTTGTTTTTAATCGTTATTGTTATTGCCCAAACCAAAGCGCCCTCTTCATCATCACTAAACCCTTCTCGTTCTCATTCCAGCGAACATGATCTGGGGGAGGATATTTATGACTGTGTCCCCTGTGAAGATGAAGGCGATGATATCTATGAAGATATCATCAGAGTGGAAGTTCAACAGCCCATGGTAACAATTTATATGCATTTTTAAAGCTACAGCTTGGCAGGAGGAGAAGGGGGAGGATAAAATTAAATAAGCAATTCACCAATGCAGGGCAATGAAGCAAATCCCAATGTACCGTTCCCCTGAGCCAAGCTCCTCCTGTTGACTCCCAATGAGCTGGCCTGTTGATCCTGGACTATATGTGTGTCCTCCCAAACATCTGGATTCTCCTGGATGTTGTAATCACCACTGGAGTCCATGGGGAGCATCTGAACCTGTGGCCACAGTGTTTTTCTACCTCAGATCCTTTCCTTTTCCTAGCAAAAGAACCGGTTATTAGTATAACTGCCCACGTTTCTGTCTCTATATTGGAAATACATTGGTTGGGTTTTTGGTTATTTAGCTTAAGATGGGTTGCAACAGGATGTGTGTAATGCTAATTGCTTTCTTGTGTTTCTGCACGCTTCAGATTAGGTACATGCAGGTAAGAGGCCGATTAAAATAATGATTTCCATCTAGTTGATAGAGCTAAGCTGGGCATTGTAATCAGATGTCGAATCAACATTTATTCCTATGCATGATCATGAACAACCAACCATCGAATTACCTCTAAGAGCACCATCATCAAGTATAAAACAGTTTTGATAGTTAAGCCAAGGTTTCTTCCCAATTTTTTTGGAGAAAAGCTGGTTTTGGTGATAGCAGCTGTGTAGAGCGTCCTTCTGACTTTCCAAACTTGTGTCAGGCAGCCTGGACCCAAGCCCTGCGCGCGTGTGAGCAGGTTCCTAGACCCCTCATCTGTTATTTTTCCTTTCCCCAGAAAATGGGAATGACAGAAGATGACAAAAGAAATTGCTGCTTGCTAGAAATTCAAGAAACCGAGGCCAAATACTACAAAACACTTGAGGATATAGAAAAGGTAAGAAGCGAGCGGGGTTTTGGCACGCGCCGGTTCGCGCGCTGGTGGCCCCGTGTTGCTTCTCGCCGTGCGGGCTGGCAGCTGCGACGTGCCAGGGCTGATGCCTCCAAATGTCAAATTGCCAGAGAAGGGAGATGCAGAAAACCCAAAAGGACAAGCACAAATAGGCAGCCTGTAACCGCACGAGTCAAATGTGGGTTTTTTATCCGATCACTGCACGTTGGAAAGAGGCTGAGTGTCCCCTGCTGTGTTCAGAGGATCTGTCCCTTCCCATACCTAGCCCCGGGTGAGTGTGGGGCCACTCTCTCCGATAAGCCTCGTGTTGGCAGATTCCTTATCTCTTTGATTGCGGCGGAATAATTTGGAAGTGGCTCTTTATTCTGGGCATCTCCGAAAGTGCTGAAGCTGTGACTTGTCACCGAAACTAATTGGATTAAAAGTAACGTTTCGCTGCTTGAATTCACGGATTTTAATTAGTTTTGATGAATTATCGTCGGGCCTCCCTTTCTAAAGGCGGGCACCTCAGCAAGGCAGCGAGGTCACGGTGGCTGCAGGACCTGGAGGTTGTTTCTAGGCAGAATGAAGCAGCGAGGATAAAGAAGGACAATTAAAACCCGAGCTGCCGTTTGTAATTGCCTCAGTGCTTTTGTTTCCTCTCCTTTTGTTTGCCGCAATCTGTTGAAAGTTCTTGCGAGAAAGCTGTGAGAGAAAGGAGCACGTTAAAATCCTCGTTTCTTGTTGTGCAAAGAATTGTTCTGATGCGCGTGTGGCTTATGTAAATAAATAGCACTTGCTCCTTGCAAAGAGCTGCAGCCCTTGTGCTTCAGCCCTGGGAAGAGTTAAGAGAATTGCTTTGATAGGAATTAAAAGAGCTTGCAAAGACCTAGGAGATTTTTCTGGCATGCAGTGGGGTAGAAGGTCCCGTCCTGGCTGCATTGCATTGCAGTGTTGTGCAACTGCAAGACGTGTAGACACTTCTGTTAATATGCAGTTGTTCAGCAAGGATCTCCAAGGCAATCGGATCATCTGCGCTTTTTAGGGACAAAATTCCAGCGTGGTGAAGGAGGAGATGTAAAGATGCTTCCCAGCTGCACAAGGGACACATCTGACCCTGGAGCAGCCCATGGGCACCAAAGGATGCTTGGGTTGGGGACAAGCAATGTGACCAAGGCAGTTTGCCCACCTTTAGCCAAGCTCAGATCTACTAAAACTGGGTTCTCCCTGCAAAGCTAAACTCAACCAGTGAGGTGATGAAGAATAACACCCTTACCCTGGGAGAAACTTAACCCTTCTCTTCATTCCCACCCTTTTTTTCCCCTTTGCCTCTTGCAGAACTACATGAACCCACTGAAGCTGGTACTGACCCCCCAGGACATGGAAGCAATTTTTATCAATTTGGAGGTAACGAAATTGCTGCTCCTACTGCTCGTGGCTCTCCTCTCTTCCCAGCACCTTAGCTCCCCTCCTGCCTCTGAAGGAGCTTGGAGATTGCGCGTTTGATGCACGCATTCATCCATGCCTTGCAAGGCTTGAATGGGTTTAGTCGCTCTTTAACACCCATTTAAAGTGGGAGATTATAGGAACTGTGGGTTAGAAAAAAAGATTTGATGCCAGGAATAGCTAGGCTAGGACTTGGCCTGTGTGTTTTAGCTCTGCTTAGAAGTGCTTTGGCAAAATAGTGGCTGTATTTCTGAGTTAAAGCACGGCTTCCCCCTGAATTATGGCCCTGCATGCCTGGCAGCTTCGGGTTTTATCTCATTAGAACAACGCATATTAAAACAGTTAATGGTCAAAAGAAGAGGAGAAAATGGCACGCTAATTAAGTAGCGAATGTGCACTTCTTTAAGCTTTGCATGCACGTTTGCCTTGGAAGTGTTTAAAGTATTGATTGTTTCTTCATTTTAGGACCTCATTAAAGTGCACTTCAATTTCCTGAGAGCCATCGACGTCTCTATGATGTCTGGAGGAAGCAGCCTGGCGAAAGTGTTTCTGGAATTCAAAGAAAGGTAGAAGGAAACCCAATCCATGGGCAGCTCCAGGTTTAACAAATTAGTTGCATCTACTGCAGAACTGCCCTAAAATAGGGAACAGAAAAACTGGTTGTAGCTGACCATGGAGTTTATCCTCATCACTTTGGATGCTGTTGGGCATCTCAAATGTCTCCCTTGCAATTCTCCCAGCTCACTGCCTGCCATGCAGGTATTTTGGAAGCCAAATATATAATGTGTTTAGACAGGTTTATTGGGGCAATGCAGACGGGGACATTATGTTTTGCAGTGGAGGGCTTCTCCTGCAAGCGCTGGCGGGGATTTGAGGCGCGTTGGGATCACGGCTTCCTTTGCAGGCCATGGGGCTCGGATCAAAGCAATGTTTCGCTGCGGGAAGTCAGGTATTTGGCACTGCTGCTGGCCCGCATCTATTGCATCGTGAATAAAATGAAAGTTGCTCTTGCAAAGTTGCTAGGTTCTGTGTTTTGGCAGCTGCAAGGAGGAGTACCCTGGAACATAAAGATAAGGTTAATAAAAAGCCTTTAATATCCTTAATATTAATCAAAGGCCTGATTCATTGTGGACTCTTGCCAGGGTGTTGTTTCACTGCGATTAAACCAGTGTCTAGACATAGAAATGCCATTCAGAAGTCCATAGCTCCAGAAATACCATCTGCATTAATAATACTCCGTAAGGTCAGATACTCCGTCATTCACAGGGCCTCTCTTAGGAAGTGAATGTTCTTTGGATTGAAAAAGAAAAAAAAGGTTCCCAAAGAATGCAAATAATTTAAAAATAGTCATAAAGCTCCGGTAGGTGTCTGTGATCTCCTGGCCGGGCTTGTCCCTGTGTGTGCGGGTGCTGTCCCCAGGCAGCAGCAGAGGATTTATTGCTCTTGGGACACGGGGTCGTTGTTGGGGTGACTTCAGCATCTTAGAAGCTCTCCTGTAATAACTGGGTGCGATTCTGCCCTGCTGCCTTTAGCGGGACCTTCCCATTAAGTGTATGAGGCTGGGATCTCATCTTCCGTGTGGTGGTGGAGCTGGGGGAGAGATATCATCCCATCCTGGAAAAAGGGACCGGGATGCCCAAGAAGGGCCAGTGGTCCCCTCTCATATAGGAGGACACCATCGTCCCACCAAGGAACAAACGTGGCCACCGAAGTCCCCATTGAGACCTTTTCTATCAGCCCTTCCTCCCCTCTAACGCATCAGTGCCGACCAGCTCTTGCTTCCATGTGTCCTCAGAGATGTCCCAGCAAAATGATGCCTCGCTCCTGGGCTTTGTGAATTTTTTTTGGGGGGGGTCATGGAGGAAATAGCTTGTAAATCTCTCTCTCTGAAAGCTAGGGGGTTGAATTTATGCTCCTGGAGTGTATTTGAAGCGTATTTGAGCACTGGCACAATAGATATTATTGTACCTGTCCAGAAGCTGTCAAGGGGGAAAGGCAGAAGAATAATCTGCATTGGCTGCTGCCTCCGTGGGGTTCTTGGTCCCATAAATCTCCCTATTCAGTTACCTGCCCGGGTCTGCGAATGCCCCATGTACGAAGCAGCAGCGGGGCAGGGGCTCCCAGCCCATCTCCGTTGCCAGCCAAGGCTCTGGAATAACGGATGAGCTGCAGGAAAACGCGTCTTATCAGCAGTGGTGCAGGGAGCAGCGGGAGAGGGAAAACCCAGCCCAGACGTGCAGGATTAACGAGCGCAATGGTGGAAAAGGGGGAATCCACGGCAAAACGGGGCTGCTCGTGATGGGTGTTAAATTTATGAGCCTCCTCATGTGCTCCTTGGACAAATGCATCCTTGGGGATTAATAGGATGAAGCCTCCATTCCTCTGTTGCAGTGCAGGTGATTGGGGGCACTTCTTGGGAATGAAGTGTTTCTTCCCTGCATCCCGTTGTGATAAACTATCCCCAAATCCTCCCCAAGAGGGGCACAGCCGTGCCTGCAGCAGTTGTTTTCTGGGGGATGAGCAGCTGGGACGTGGGAGGTTCATTCGGGAGCATTTGTGAGCTTGGATAACACTGGATTTAGTGCTGGCGAGGTCGGCAAGAGCCGGGTTTGGGGGAGACTCGGGAAGGAGGCTGCTGATGCCGTTGGGTGTTGGGTTTCCAGCCTCGAGCCTCCCCTAAGGCAGCCTTGCTCGCGCCGTGTACGGGCTCGGCCTTTGCAAACCCTATTGGGAGCATGACAGAACGGGAAAACCGGAGCGGGGAGGTGCGAGGTCTATTAAGACATCAAGAGGATTACGGCGCCTCTTGTAATCCCTGGAAAAGCCTCCTCGCAGCAGCATGACATGGTTGGGGATGCAGCTGCTGGTGCTGGTCCAGCGCTCACAGGTTCAGCAGATGCTGCTGCTGCATCTAATAAGACTTTCTTTGAGGCAGAGACTTTGCTTTGGGTTTGCCCGAGTGATGTCTTGGGTCACGCAGGAGAGGAGAACCTGTTTAAAAGGGGTTTGTCTGCAGGGAAGGGTTCAGTGTCAGTGGACAGGAGATGGGCGATCAACTGGCCTTCCAGGAACTGCTCCTTCCAATGAGGAAGGAGGCGCAAGCGGTTTCCAGATGACACCTGGTCCCCAGGCAGTGGATCAAGGTGGACATAGGACATCGTGGAGCTGGACCAGGGCCAAGACAACCAAGGCTGAGCCCTTGTGCTCCCTAAAATGGGACCAGAAGGTCCCATCACGAGCCAAGTCCCCGCACTTAGCTCCAGCCCAGGAAGCATCTAAAGACTCAAATGTTAAATACTGGTGTAATAAAGGAGTGTTAACACTTTGCTAAGCATTATGGCAGGGAATAGCCACTTGCCATCTATATATGTATTTTTATAGCAGGTTATAACAGCCAGTGAGTGTTTCTGATTAAGTCTGTGGGTTTTTTTTCCCTCCTTCCCCCTGTGCAGGCTCTTGATTTATGGCAAGTACTGCAGCCACATGGAGTACGCGCAGAACACGCTCAACCACCTCCTCGCTAACCGGGACGACGTGCGGCAGAAGGTGGAGGTGAGCAGGGACCAGGGACCGGGATGGGGTCCGTCCCGGGGCCACCTCGGATGGGCGGCGAGCAGAGCATCCCGGTGTCCCGATGGCTCCTGGGTTCTTGCAACGAGACCATGACTGGCTTCTGGCTCCGCTAAGGAGCATTTGCAGTAGGGAAATCACAGGCTGGATCCTTAAAAACATCGAGCATCCACGGACCAGGAGCTGGCTGGTCACACACCGCACTGAATTCCTTGCTCGTCAGGAGGGCTCAACTCGAGGTGCTGAGTAAATCAAAGCAGCCCCAGAAGGGATGCGCCACTTGAGCTGCTATTTTTTTCCCAGCTTTAATTCCCAGCTTCTATCTTGAGGCTGCTCTGAATTTGCTGGGCTGTCTGGGCGCATTACCTTGTGCACCGCAAACACTCTTTGATTCCCCGTGCAAAAGCAGGAATGCAATTCAATGATAAAGCTGTGTATTTTTTTATTCCCTCTCCTAAATGTACCCTGGGTTTTGCATCAAAATACCATGATGTGAAGCACTGTGTCAGCTCAGTTAATTTTGCAGGGGAGGCACTGGAAAGGGTCCAAAGGGTCCCAACCAGCCCAGCAGTGTGTCGTGTTTAAGTGGGTCTGGGCTAAGGTAATAGTCACACAACTTGGTGTGGTCACATTAGCACATCTTAATGGCTTAATCCTTATCAGGCAAGCCGCAGCAACTGTCAGCAGGCTTGCAAATAAAATGCCTTAGCTCGAAGCATTGAGGAGGTGGTTTAAGTTAATGGGCTTCTCTTGCTATTTCCAGGGGTCCAGGAGCATGTCTGGGCTCCCCTAATGAGCAGTATCTCATTTAGCTGAAGTAGCTCAGGTTGCTTGAAAATGTCTATATTTTAAGGTCCAGACTCCGTTTTATTTGTAGGTAACCTCAGCAGCTTAGGCCCCATCAGTGGCTTCCAGAGAATGGTCTCATCAGAAGGGCAGTTACAGAAACTAAATTTTAGGGCATTTGAGGGTGTTTTTTTCTGTGGGGGCAACTATTTCCTCACTCCTGACACACTGATGTCTTTAATAGGAATGCACGCTCAAGGTTCAGGATGGGAAATTCAAGCTGCAAGATCTGCTGGTGGTTCCAATGCAAAGAGTTTTGAAATATCATCTCCTCTTAAAAGTAAGTGTTTCGGCATTAACACTTCTCTCCTGCTGCCATCCCGGCCGTAGCATCCTTTGGCTGTTACAGCAGAGGATGAATCCCTGCCAAATGCAAAGTGCAGGGATTTTTTCCCTTCAAATGAAATAATTACCAGGGCTACTTAACGCGACATCGTATTTGTGCCGTCTCTTCAAGTTGGTGACCGAGGGTAATTCTGCGCTTGTTAGCCACGAGTGGCAGTTAATGAATATGAAATAAGCTTGCATATAATCTGATTATGTGTGAAATTCCTGGGTTTTGCAGGAGCTGCTCAGCCATTCCTCCGACCGGCCGGAAAAGCAACAGCTCAAGGAAGCCCTGGAGGCGATGCAGGTAGGAGGGAATGCTCGGGATGCAAAACCTAGATGGAGAAACAGCCTCACAGCCCCAAGGATGGAGACTTCTCCACTTAGGACATGCATCCATTGCTGTTAAATGGGATTGCTCTGCAGCAGACCTGTAGTCATCCTGTTATCTGCCCCCATAACCATCTGGAAAAATGATATTTGTTGGCAAGTTGGGGCTTTTCACTAATTCCTGTTGTGGGTAAATAAGCCCTCCTGGATTTGACGCTGGTTTTGGTTAGGGGAAACCTCTCAGGACTCCAGTTGTATTGGTGAGAAATGGGAGCAAGTGTCTGGGGAGAGCGGAGCTGCCCACGCGCTGCTGTCCCCATACTGCTGGGGAATCCTTTTGTCCACATATTGTTTTCTTCAGAGGACAATACCTTTTCCACAAATGAAGGAAGTGATTTTTTGATTTGTTTCCTTGTTTCATTTAAGTATTTTTTGAGCTTTCCACCTGAAACCCGCCAGGACCTGAGGAAAAGCTCCTGCAAAACAAACCAGCAAAAGTCATCCAGCTGTTTTCCGGCTTGGCTGTGTCCCCTCCATGCACACACTCAGTTCACATCAGCAGTGGAAAATGGCATTAGACGATGACTAAAATCCAGGTTTTCTCCCTTGGGAGTGTCGAAGGGTTCATGCCTGGACACTCTCCTGTTTTCTGAGGTCATTGGTTGTTTTCTACCTCCGAGGCTTCAGCTCTTTAATGATACCGAGTGTCCCAGAGCTTACATAAGTCGGTGACCTTTGTAGCCATTATCCCTGCAAGCCCGTGGATCCAGAGCCAATATATAGGTTGTTTAAAGTTAAGGTTATTTGAAGGATGTTGCATTCTCAGTCTGCTACTGCACAGTGCATGATGCTTCGAATAAACAGCCTTTGCACCAGGAAGGAGCATAGCAGCAATTTCCTCGCATGCCAAAAGTCGGTTTTGTCCCCCAAACTTACTGTTGATGGAGATGGAACAGCAGAAGTGGGAGCAGCTGTTAAATCCTGACTAGGTCACATCCTTTACGGAGCGTGATGTGAAATGTTGATACCAGAAGGGGCTGTTTTGATTCATGTGGGTCCCTGCAGGATCTTTGGGCTCCGAGTTACGGGCTCTAGCCCTGGGTTTTGGTGTTGGGCAGGCTCCTATGGGTGAGATCCCAGTGCTGCACTTGCAGTGCACTCTTAGCCAGCACTCGGAGCCCCGCTGAGACTCTGGCTGCTCTAAGGATTCGGGAATCAGCCCTTGGAGAGGCGGGCTGCTTCCATGGCCCTGTCATCGGGAGCGTGCGGATGCAACCTAGACCGCGCCGGGCTGGCCAGTGGCATAGGAAGCAGCGCGCTTGGATTTTAATTGATCTGCAAGCCAAGGCTGAGCCTGGAGGTGATGTTTTTCATCCAAACTGCAGACTTTCTGTCTGGTGCATTGGCAGACGTCTGACGTTACCGCCGTCCGGGGCGGGAAAGCGTGCAGCGGGGGCTGGAAATCTGCAGCTAGAGCCGCGTTTCCCAAGGGAATTCACCTCCCTTCTACCTTGCACGTGTGGTGGTTTGCATGAGGCGGGATTTGCAGCATGGGCAAAATTGCACGGGGGGTTATTTGGCGAGTGCATCGTGCCTTGGCTTCGAGGTTGCAAGCCATGGAGGAGCAAGGGAAGGTCCCCTGCAAAATCCTGCAGACCTGGGGTGCCTGTTGCTGTTGCAGAAGAGGCGCTGGCAGGGAACGTTGGCCTCGCTTTTGGTTTTGTCATTCTCCATAACCGTCCCTGCCACCGGCTCGCTCGGGTAGCGTGTGACGTAACAAGTATTGTCACTTAGGTCTGCGATTATCATCTTTGATTAACCCTTCCCGTCTTGGGAAGCTGAGGAAGGTCGGAACCTGAGGGGCTGTCTTAAAGGATTCCGTGCTCAGCTTTAATCTAAGGTGACAAGAGCTGTGGTGGAGGAGCAGCAGGCAGGGGGTGGGTGAGAAGGGTACAGGCGGAGGAAATGCACTCCTGAGGATGCCAGAAGTTGGGTTTTTTGAGTGGAAAGAATAGGGTTCTCTCACTTTGGGTCAAAATTTGGGTAAGCTGAGCCCGTATGCCACAAGGGTCGGGGTCCCGTATTGCCCTCTCCTGGGAGATGGGGAAAATTGCAGCATGTATCCGGAGAAACTGTGCAAAGGGACAAGGACGGAGGATGAGGACAGGTTTGCACCCAAGTTTGCACCCGTGTTGCAGGAGCTGGTGGGTGACTCGGTGCTTGCAACTGTCTTGCACATCCCTAATTTTAACTGATGGGGTTTTGCTTTCAATTCTGCAGAAACATGTTCAGCTGCTTTTCCTTTCCTGCTGGCAAAGCTTGTGTTCCTGGCGTCCTTAGAGCTGCTTATCTGCTCTGAGTCTGGAGCGTGTTGACAGAAGGAGGGATATGTCTCCAGGGAGCGGGGGTCATGGGGTTTCTCCTTTTAATAAAAGTACTACTTTAGTCTGAAAAATACAAATCAACATTCACTTTTTTTTCTTTAGGACTTGGCCATGTACATAAATGAGGTAAAAAGAGACAAAGAGACTTTAAAGAAAATCAGTGAGTTTCAGAGCTCCATAGAAAATCTGGTAAGCTGGACAGTATTCCCTCCTCCCACTCCCAACCTCCCTGTGCTCGTTACCATCATGCCTGTTTTTTCAGTGCAATTATTGCAGGATTGGATGTGCCACCTAATAGGGATGCACGCATGTTTGGAGAGCCCCTTGCACTCTGGCTTTGCTGGCAATACAGAAGGCATTGCTAAAGTACAAAATCAAGCTGGCTGTGAAATAAGGTGCTGGTGATTTTTCCCTGTGTCATCAGGACAGGGACACCCACGGGGTCCCTAGATAAGCTCTGGGGCATCTGCTCCCTAATCTGCTCTTAGGGCTGCGCTTGCCGCTGCAGGGACAACGTGCTGGCTCTGTGTCCCGACACTTGACAGGGCTTGGCGAGGAATGGCATGTGGGACACGCACGTAAGCACGAAACCTCAGCCGCATAGCTTAAGCAGAAGCTCATCTCCCAAATTCCCAAGGCCTGGGACGCCCGATCCCATTCCTGCTCAATAACCGACCCCGGTGCCCCGTTGCTCGCGTGCTTTTAGCCCCGAGCAAGCCCATTAGTTTAATATTCCAGGGAAGAGCTGGAGGCTAATGAGTTTTCCTCCTCTTTGGGGTGGGTGCTCAGCTGCAGGGCTCAGCTGGCTGGCGGCTTCGCTGTCCCTGGGGAGCCACGATGCGGGGCCAGCACCTGGGCTGCCTTGCAAGGGGCTGCGCCAGGGCAGGATGAGCCAGAGCTGCCCACCCAGAGGGGCTGCAGGGCCTTGGTTTTGTCATTACATCCTGACTTCGTGATAACGTCTTGACTTGATGAGTATTTAATAGGCGGACACCAATTTTTTTTAATTTTTGAGAAATATCCACCCAACTTCCCAGGTGGGATGTTGGGCTCTCCTGGCTCGGAGCTTCTGCCTGAAGCAGCCGTGCTCGTCCTGCTCCACGTGAGCAACTAGACATCGTGCACCCTAAAAACGTGCATGTAAATGGGTGCCGCTTTGCATCCTTGCAGCAGACGGAGCAGGTTTGGGGTGAAGATGACACACTAGTGAAGCAGTCACTTCTTTTTTCTACTTTCTGCAGAATAATCTCCCGTGGGGTTTGTCTCTGCTCACGGGACTGGTATCCGTGGGCTGCTCCATGTTATGTACACAGAGCCCACATGGCACAGCGAGGAAATAACATCAGATTATACACACAGCTGTTTGAAATATTTACTTTTCTGACCAGCTTCACAATATGTTTTCTCTCCTGCAAGGAGAGCTGTGTAAGTGGAGTGATTCATGCGGCTGTGCAGCCCTGAGTAACGTTTGCAGCGGCTTTTGAGCTGACACACAGGCTGACCCAAACCCTGGGTTGGATTCCAGCCTTCCCAAACTCTCCACGTCTGGGGTCAGGACGGGAGACAAAGCTCTTGTACTTACAAGAGCCCTCATTCCATTTGCATAGAAAACGCCGTAAAAACAGCTTATGTCATGGGAATTTTGCTTTCTAGATCCCAAATCTTTGATCTCTGAGCCTTGCTCTGCTGTTGCGATGCATCAGCAGATGCAGAAGTTTATCCCATGCCCATGTCACCCCAGGCTGTGCATGGGAGACCCTTTGGGTGCAGGCGATGCTGCTCACATCAGTGTCTGCAGTGGTGGACAGGGCTGGCAGCGATGGCCCCAGCACCATGTGCAAACCCACTGTGTTCAGAACATTCCTATTTCTGTATTTCTGACCCGAGCTCCAGCTGTAAATCTCAACTGTGCTCTGCTTTCTGCAGCAAGTGAAGCTGGAGGAATTCGGGAGGCCCAAGATAGATGGTGAACTGAAGGTCCGATCCATAGTAAACCATACGAAGCAGGACCGGTGAGTAAGCGACGACGTTCTCCTAAAAAACAAACCAAGGGTGTGATGCAAACAGCTGAGAGCAACATAGGGTTTTTCAGAGCAGTTATTAATTGTGAAGGAAAAGGAAAGTCCCTGCTAGGATTGATATGTCTAGAATTATTGGTCACAGAAGTTTTCCCAAGCAAAACATGCCCTTTGTTTGGTGAGGGCTTTGTCCTCACTGGAATATCCACTCGGTGGCCCGTGGACTGAGTTAATACCACTGGAATAACTGAAGCCAGCACACGGCTTCACTTCTCCAGACATTTTGGGCTCATGCATTTGATTATTAAACTTGCATTGGCAGAAAGCACCATAAAATTCCTGGGCAAGAAGATCTGTAGAGCTCTCCAACTACTGACAGCTTAACTTAGACATTTGACTGACCTGCTCTTTGCTTTGGGCAGGTATTTATTTTTGTTTGATAAAGTGGTGATCGTCTGCAAAAGGAAAGGGTACAATTATGAGCTGAAAGAAATCATTGAGCTGCTCTTCCACAAGATGACGGACGACCCTATGAACAACAAAGACATTAAAAAGGTAGGTGGGTGAGGGCAGCTGTGCTGGAGAGCGTAGTGGAGCTGTTTGGGGGTGGGTAGTGTATCCCTATTAGCCTTTTAAAGCAGAAATAGGGCTTGGAAAAAGCTGGGGGAAAAAAAGAAGGCTCAGGTTTCAGGGAGTTGGGAAATGTTTATTGATGCGAGGCTGGGCTCGGTCTTCTGACCTCCGTCCTTGCAAAAGAGCCGCGGAGGAGCTGGAATGATGCGAGTCGGCGGGCGGAAGCGGCTCCCGCTCCGTGCCCAGCCGGCGGGGCGGAGAGGAGAGGGAAAAGTGGGAACCGAGTCCAGACGCTCCCGCGAGGCGCAGGGCAGGCGGAGGAGCTGGGAAAGGCAACGGGAGCGGCCACCAAAACCGGCGCTGGGAGCGACACGGCTCCTCCGGCGGGCTCAGGCCGTGGCCTAAAAGTAAGCCTGGCCTCCCAGCAGCGAGTTAGTATCAGCTTAGCAGCTCCGGCCGCGCACGTGCCGGGTGAGGAGGGATGGTGCAGCTGGATGAGTGTCGCTGGGGTAGGAGCAACCGATTTTGCCGCTCGGATGCTGAAGCAGCGCTGCTTGCTTTGTGGTTTTAATGCAATGTATTTCCACTTTGCTCTCCGATGCTTTCTAGTCTCATGGAAAAATGGTAAGCAAAGCACACGGTTTTCTCTCGTGTTTTTCTGTGCGGTGCTGTGATGTGACAGCCCGAGCATATGGGCACCGGGCAGGTCAGATGGTCCTCCTGGGCTGTCGCTTGCTGTCAGGGAGGGATATAATGGCTGGGGAGGACCCAGCGGAGCAGAAAAATCTGGGTTTTCTCATCTGCCACCGTACAATCCCATTTGGCCCTGGTGTGCAGCGCAGAGCCGACCCATGCATCACTTATTGTCATGTGCTGTGGAAATACAGACGTATTTTTCCTTCTGTTATCTTTATAAAGGCTCAGTAGCCCTTGAGAAGTAAAAAAGGGGGAAGTCGCTGAAACCCACTGTTAAGATGGGCTTCGAAGTGGGTAATAAAAGACGAGTGATAAAAGTGAGTTTTGTTATTGTGCCTTCAGGGCAGAGCAGCCCATCGTTTCTCTCCTTATCTGTTGCAGTGGTCCTACGGCTTCTACTTGATCCACCTCCAAGGAAAGCAGGGCTTCCAGTTCTTCTGCAAGACAGAAGAAATGAAGAGGAAGTGGATGGAGCAGTTTGAGATGGCAATGTGAGCGCCCGGGCTGTCGTGACCCGGGCACAAGGGCAGGAGCGAGCAAGACTTGGGAGCTCAGTGCTCGTTGGGACCTCCAGGATGGGCCCTGCACGAGGGAGTTTGTTTCCAGCTCAAAATCATGCTTTGGTATTTGAACCAAAGCATGGGTGCAAGCTTGGAGTGACATTTGGTGTAGTTGTTGGGGTGCAGGGGATGGATGGGTGAAGGACCAAGGAAAGTTCTTCCCCCAGAGAGTTCTCCTGCAGGGAGTTAGTCCTGGTGAGGGTAGAGGTGAGCTCCTGACCTGCAGGAGTGCTGACCTGCACTGAGTTTTGTATCAGAGGGAACTGGATATGCAAAATCTTCTCTCTGCACAGTCAAGCCCCGAGTTGTTTTTCACACTAGATTTTCCTATCAGGCCACGTGGTTTCCAAGCTCTGACTGAAAGGCAGACAACATCTGCAGGGCAGGTCACAGGGCACTGAATGACTCGGAGGGACAAGTTAATGACCCCCGTCCTCTTATGCCTTAGGTCCAACATAAAGCCGGAGAAAGCCAATGCGAATCACCATAGCTTTCAGATGTACACGTTTGAAAAGACCACCAATTGCAAAGCATGCAAGATGTTCCTAAGGTGAGCAGTAGCTTTGTAGCTTTTCCCTATCTAAGTCTTATCAAAACATGCAAATCTCAAAGCCGAGATTGAGACTTTCTGTCTTCTGCACAGAGGGACATTCTACCAGGGCTATCTTTGCCCGAAATGTGGAGCCGGTGCTCATAAGGAATGCCTGGAAATCATCCCCCCCTGCAAGATTGGTAAGTTATATTACATCATTAGCAGCTTAGGACAGGGAGATAGATCTGTGGGAATGATCTAAAAGCCTCTCTTTACAAAGCTCTGTCTGGTATTCACTAAGTACACAGAATCACAGAGCTACCCACAATGTCAGAGCTGTGCCCACCTCTCTGCTTTTGCCTCTTTGCTCAAGACGTGTCCGTGTCCATGACATTTTATTGCTACCAATAGTGTCTAGACGAGCAGAAAATGGGCTCCCTTGCCTTTGATATTAACTGCTTATTTTGCTGTTTCTCTTGCAGGTTCTTCAGCAGACCAGGTAGGTTGTGTGACAGCCCTTTTCCTGCCTCCTCTGCTCAGTGGCCATGGTGCGAGCTCTCTGCTCCCTGGACCACTGGCCTCGAGGCTCCCGTCGAGCCAGGTTTAGACGTGACCTTGGCGTCCTCCCCACCAGCAAGTCCAGAGGAGCCGGTTTCTCATCCCTTTGGCTCCTGATGGATGCGTGGGGAGACCCGAGGAGGCCGCATCCTCATCTAGTCTTTTCTTTCTCTTTTTGCAGGAATCCCTGGGCGCAGGACCTGGTAAGGACTTTATAGCATTGCAGGAGGACAAAGGGAAATGATGTCTTGATTTGGCTGAAGGTGTCAATAGAGCCTGAGCACTGAGGGTGGAGAAAGCTCCTTTTTAGAGCAGAATGGTGCCAATCAGGGCCAGCAGCAGCATTCAGTGATGTTGGATCCTTCTGCTTCCCAAAGCAGCAGCTACGAGCAGGTCTCCTGTGCAAAGAGCTGCTTCGAAGCAGCTTTGCGCCGGGCTGCAGGGCTTGTCCTGCCTGTGCTCTGGCGGGGAGGAGAAGGAACAATTTGTTTTCGTGTGACTCTTCTGTCTGAAGGAAAGCCAAGTCTGGAAAAAGGAAACCTAAATCAAACTGGTGGTTAAAGGAAAAAAAATCCCTGGAAGGGTCCAGTGCTCTGCCTAGGCAGGGAGGAGGCAGCTGAAGGCAGAGGTGGGGAAGCATTTGGAAGATAAACACTGTGGTTTTAGTACAATTTGGAAAAGCTTATTTAATGTGCAGCTCTTTGCAAGACAGCCGAACTTTGGCTGTGAACTTCCAGGGGCCAAGGGCCACTCGAGTCCCAGGCTCTGTTGAAGTTTGATGGAAGCTGAGTGTTTGCTGCTCCGTTTTGCAATCGCGGGCAAATCGGTGGAGCCCGTTGCCATTTGGTGACCAGCAGAAACTGCCTAGCGAGGCCGCCGGGGCTCCGGCATCCTCGCATGCTCTTCATCGGCATGCTCTTCATCCATTCCTTTCTGCTTGTTGAGCTCAGTCATCCGGGCAGCTTCAGAAGCCAGGGCTGCATTCCCTGTGCACCCATCCTGCCTGCCCCAAATCCCGCCTGTGCAGAGCTCAGAGTTGTGATTTACATGAAAAGGAGAGGATTTTTTGCTTTCCTTTTCTCTTAGGGGGTGCTGGATAATGCAGCCGTTTCCCTCCTTTTCCAGGTCCAAAAATGGTGGCGGTGCAGAACTACCACGGGACCCCCGCGCCTCCCGGGAAGCCCGTGCTCACCTTCCAGACCGGAGACGTGATCGAGCTGCTGAGGGGGGACCCGGAGTCGCAGTGGTGGGAGGTGAGAGCATCTTCAGGAGGTTTCTGGATGGTTCTTAAGCCAATGATTTCTGGATGGTGCCAGTCCAGTCTTGGCGCTCTGATATTTTGGGAGTGCTGGGACTTTGTGGGCTTTGTTGGGAAATGATGGGGTCCGTGAGACATGTGGAGCCTTGGCCGCGTCAGTGCCGTGGATCTGCAAGGCAAAGCCACTTCTCCATCACACGCATGCTGGTCTGATGCCCGTTTCCATTGTTTTATAGGGAAGGCTGCTACAGACGAAGAAGTCAGGCTATTTCCCCAGCTCGTCGGTAAAACCCTGTCCTGTTGATGCAAGGGTAAGTGCTTAAAACCAGCCCTAGTGATGCCAGGTTTGCTTGGCACCAGGAATTTTGCTGCTGGGTCTTGCTCGAGAGCTGGGGCCCTTGCAGGAGCTCCATCTGATGCTGCCTGTCCCACTTCTTGTCCCACCTTGGTGGGATTTCACGGCCGCTTTGTTTTCAGGCTTTCGCAACTAATGGTTGATCAAAGTCCTGCTGCCTATTGATTTAATTAAATAAAGAGCTCTGTGGTTTTCTATGAGGTTAACTCTCAGTGATGCAATGGGTGGAAGTCAGGTGCTAAACAACGTGCAATATTTCTGCCCTCTCTGGGAACTACTGGTGCCTTTCACACTCCGTTTTTCAACGGCTCCAGTGATACTGGCCAGGAGCAGTCATGTTCTCCATTTATACCTGTCTGTGAGCACCCAAACATGTGGCTGGTGGGATCAGGTCCAGACCTTGGGTGCTCCTCTGCAAAGAGCACGGAGCTGACTCGCTAGCAGAGCGCTTGAAATCAGTCGCAGTACAGAAAAGCTGTATTTTTAACTGTTTTTTTTTTTGCAAAGCTCAGTTGTTTCCCAACTGAAAAAGGCTCAGATAAATGAAAAAAAAAAAAATAAATAGCAATATGCTGCTCACAGCTGTTTTGGACAGGGAGGGTAAGAGAGCACTTGATTACAACACTGTCTTCCAACCCCGAAGCCAATAACTCTGGAACTGCTTGGCACATAAAACCCCACCGTAGAGAGGAGCCTCTCGCAGCTGATCTATAGCCTAATTAGGCACCGGGCTGCGCGGTAACGAGCAGTGTTCCCTTTGCTGCAGCCTCCCAACAGCCGGCCTCCGTCGCGAGAGATTGACTACACGGCGTATCCCTGGTGAGTGGCCCTTCGATGGGGCTCGGCGTGTGCGATGGTCTTACCTCTGCCCTCTAATTTCATTCCGTGGTCACCGATCCACGGGACTAGCAAATCAGGATGTGCTTTGGGAATGCCATCCCTGCTGCAACTCCGATGGATGGATGGATGGATGGATGTGTGGGAGATAGGGATGAGCCAGCCGACCACCCATGGCCTTGGCCAAGCTCAAGAGCTGCCTCCAGGTCATGCGGCATAGGAAGGATTTCTACCCTGGCAGTGGTGAGGAGGGCTTAGACAAAAGCAGAGGCGCTGGAGACTCTTCTCTCCTGCAGATTTGGTGCTGAGTCCCCATCTCGCTGGCAGTGCAGCTAAATCCTCCCCTTTCTGCAGCCTTTGATGCCTTATTCACATGGGGATCGGTTCCGATTAGTGTTTTGCTAGGTGCCTTGGAAACCTAAGAGACTTAAAGGCAAGATACTGCACTCCCCGTTATCCGTAACTCATTCGTTATCCTCTAGTCAGTGGCTAAGCAGCTTCTCGTGCATCTCCAGGCACTTCCATTCCTGCTTCCAAAGTTTTGGATGAGACCTGCTTCTCCACTGCCCCAATCTTGCCTTTTAAAAAAGACAGATGGTTTTGGTTAACGTGCCTATTTTTAAAATATTCCTTTTTAATTAACAATGTGTATGTGCACAATTCTGGAGGCCTTGGCCTGTGAAGGAAGCCTCCTGATGGGCTTTCATGCCATGAGGATACGGAGTCCGTGGCTCTCATTCCCATAGGATTTGTGTGGATGCAAGGAGCCCTTACGTGCCAGCTTGCACGGAAAGCTGGACATCTGAGAGCCCTTTGTCCCTCTGCAAGCTGCTTTTTGAGCCATCACCCAAAAGAGGCACAACCCTAAGGGACGTGGAGCGGTGCTGAAGAGGGGTGCAGGGGCATCTATGACTCTGTGGTGTCTCACAGCGCACATGGGTTTAGGTTTGCAGGGAACATGGAGCGGCAGCAGACGGACAACCTGCTCAAGTCCCACGTGAGCGGCACCTACCTGATCCGGGAGAGGCCGGCGGAGGCCGAGCGCTTTGCCATCAGCATCAAGTGAGTGCCCGCGCGGCCGCCCGCGCTTGCAACGCCCGCCAGCAAGGGCAAGAGCTTCCTCACCGCCTTGGCTCTTCCCCCTCGCAGGTTTAACGAGGAAGTGAAGCACATCAAGGTGGTGGAGAAGGACAACTGGATCCACATCACAGAAGCCAAGAAGTTTGAAAGTCTTCTGGTATGAAGGAGGCTCCGTGGGCGGCTGGCACGCGGGGCGCCGCGGCTCTGACCCGCTGCCCTTGGTCCCTTCTAGGAGCTGGTTGAGTACTATCAGAGCCACTCACTGAAAGAGAGTTTTAAGCAGCTGGACACAACCTTAAAATACCCATACAAGTCTCGGGAACGTTCTACCTCCAGGACCTTCACGCGCTCTCCAGGTAAAACCGGGCTTAAATGCAGCTGTGCACACGAAAAACGCAGCTCGGGTGTTCAAAGGAAAGTTGCAGCGAGATGTGGGAATGGTGTTGAGTGAAGGAGTTTATAGCAGGGGTGGTTTGCGCTTGCACCGTTAGCTGGAGTTACTGTCTTATCTGCCCACGGAGGTGTTTGTGCATGTGTTTTAATGGATCCAATTCCAGCATCACTGGTGACAGTTATAATCTCAAGGGGTTGCCTTTAATGGAGCTGATGGGAGAGATGGTTAATAAGGAGAGAGAGGAAAAAAAAAATTGAAATTTTTTTCAAATGAAAAGCAAAATTTGCATTAATGCAAAATTTTTGGTTTTACCTAAAAGCTTGAGCGTGAAAATTAACTTCTTTGGGGAAGAGTGTTTTTTAAAAGCCTTTTCAATTTTTAAAAAGGCTACCAAAGAAACCCAATTAAAAGAAGTGGTTAAGCTTCTTTTCCAATACAACAAAACCGTGTGATGTATTTGGAGTAAGAAACTTTCCCTTGGTTCAGGGAGGCGCTTTCCACCAGGAGAAAGGCAAGAAGGGGCCTCGATGCCCCAGGGAAGTCCCAGGCTCTCGCCCTTGGGTGAGACCTGTGCCCACGTCTGCAGATTTGCAGCATTCCCCCGTTGGCTTTGACAGCGTTGTGCTTTGAAATTTTATTTTATTTTTTTAATTTCCTTTTTAATTGGTGTTCTGCCTCTTTCTGTTTCTCTCTAACCTCTTTGCAGCCTCCTGCGCTTCCTACAACTTTTCTTTTCTCAGTCCTCAGGGCCTCAGCTTTTCTTCTCCGACCTCCTCCTCCTCCTCTCCCTTCTGGTCAGGTACTAGTGCCGTCCTTTCCTGGGAGGGAAGTGCCTCCTAGTGGTCCTTCCCTGGAGGGAGAAGCCCCTACCAGGTTGCAACCATCACCAGCTTGAAAGCCATCACCAGTGGGACCTGGGAGGTCCCCACTGCCCCTCTCCATCTGCAGACACAAGGGGGTCACCAGGACTGTCCTGGTTCACAGCTTGGAAAGAGGAATAATTTAATTAATCCTGACTTAAACGCACTCCCTCCCTCTCTCCCTCAAAACAAGGCAGGAGGAGCCGGAGCTGTAACTATTGAGAAAGGGGAAGAAAATTAAATTTGATGCGTTGGGATCTCATGATGTACTTCAAGCTTGACCCACTTACCCCATGTGCTTCAGGGAACGAGCATTGGCATCACACCATCTGCAAGACTGTTTTTCCTTGCTGTGCAAGGAGAACATCTCAATGTCCTGCAGTCTTTGAGCTCTGCAACCAGAGCCTGCTCAGGAGCACCTTGCTTAGGAGATGGGGGAACCCGTGCTGGCAAATTTGGCTTCAGTGTCCTAGAGAAAGGGACAGGGGTGCCCTGGCCTTTGAAAGCTGTTGATCCCAATGTGCAGACCAGCATCTTCCTCCCTGTTTAGGAGGGATCAGGAGGAGCAAAATTGTGCCTGGTCATTTCTTGCTTTTTGTGCTTTTGTCTTCAGCATTTGCTTTAGGCTCTACAGGGAAAATCATCTGTAGAAGTGTGTGTGCTTTTCTTGGTACCGTGTTTGGGAAGAACACTTACTGTTTCAGGGAACTGGAATAAAATTCTGGGTATCTGGGATCCTATAGCTGCACTTTTGTGTAAAAGTATTGCCAAATGTTAATTTGCACGGAAATGTGCCCTGAGCAAGCTCCTGCTGGAAGGGTTCAAAGCTGTCATGACATTTGCTCCATTGTCTGGCCCAGATGAACAAACCTCTGATGAATTGTGTATTGTGTGTATCGACCGTCTCCATTGTCATCCTCATCTCCGTCCATCCTCAGAGCTGAAAATCTGGGCAAAGCTCTTCCCCAAACCTAGTTCAACCTTGGTTTGCAAACTTTTTAAACTTGTTGCTTTGTAATGCTCAAAAGTCCTGGGGCGGCAGGGCAACTTCACTGAAACTCGGAGTCCCTTCAGGGTTGGTTTTATTTATTTTTTGTCCCCAAATGTCAGAAATGTGCATTTCATTTCCCCTTGCTTGCCCTGGAGCACTCGCTCAGCAGTTCATGGGGACTGTCGCATCCCTCCAACCATTGCCCTCTGCTCTCCTTCCTCCCACACCGTGATGACCCACAGGGCTGCTTTTCCTTCTCCCCATTGCTCCTGTGTGCAGACCAGGACATTCCTGCTGCTTTCCCTCTCCCTGGAAAGTTTCCCCTGGCCTGAAGCAGCAGAGATCAGTGGTGCTGGTGGTGGGCAGCCTCCTGAGGAGCCTTTTGGGGAAGCGTGGCCTCCCCGCCAGCAGCTGAGCAGCAGTTTCCAATTCTCTTATCTCCAAGAATGAGGAGTCTGAGGAGCATCTCTGGCTCTCCTTAGGGCATCTCAGACCTCGTGCTTTGTGTCACAAGCGGATTATCAGGTGGGATTGGCATTGCCAGGGTCCTTTTGCACACACTGGTCTGTCTTAGGACCAAGTTTCCAAGGCCCCATTGAGATGTTTTAAAGCACAGCCAGCAACAAGCTTAACCTTGACACCCCAGGGTGCGAGCGGCTGAGAAGTTTCCATAAGACCAAGCCCAACATCTAAGCCTATCTGGGTCGCAGTGCCACAATGGAAGCAAGGACTGTGGTGGAAAACCCAGGTTGAACCTAGCCCAGCTTTTCCCAGGCTTCAGCTGCTGCCGCGTGGCAGAGCAGCTCCCAACGCCGCGTGTTTTGTCCACCCGCAGTGTTCACGCCACGAGTCATAGGGACGGCGGTGGCGCGATACAACTTTGCAGCACGGGACATGCGGGAGCTCTCCCTGCGCGAGGGCGACGTGGTGAAGATCTACAGCAGGATAGGCGGCGACCAGGGATGGTGGAAGGGGGAGACCAACGGCAGGGTAAGTGCACCCGGGAGCTGCTGTGTCCGAAAGCGTCCCGGATCAGCCTTGTAGCACGTGGTTCTCCCTTGCGTTGGTCAGAGCTTGCCTAGTGGCAGCCTTCCCCAAAAATGCTTCCAGAAGAGCAAGGGGAAGGAGAAAGAGCTGCATGCAACTCATATTGGCTCTTCTTTTGGCTTGTGGATGTGCTGCTGTGTTGCAAGACCGGGCATGTAAGCAGATACCGCGAGTGAGGTGCGTGGCACGTCCTGCCGTGGGTGACAGCGGCACCCGGCCGCGTGCCGGCAGATGGGAGCGCGCTGTGGCCAGGCAGGCACGCAAGCATGTGGCCCACCGCGCTCTTCCTTGCGCTGGCACGTGGGGAATTCCTGCTGGAATGGCCCCGCAAGCAGCACGCTCGGCATCCCGGACAACAGCAGGAGGCCACTCGGCTGTCTGGGTGTCTTGCAGAGTTCACGGTAATCTGTGAACCCAGTTTTTGATGTGTAGACAAGGGCATCATTTTTGCAGACAGGTTTTTGATGCCCACATCCCTTCTTCGTTGGTGACAAGCTGTGTGTGGCCATGCCCAGGACACTTAGAGTGCCAAGACAGGAGGCCCCTCGTGCTCGCGAGTCTTCTGCTCACCTCTCATTTGCCCTGCAGGTCGGCTGGTTTCCCTCCACCTACGTGGAAGAGGAGGGCGTGCAATGATGGTGGCCGTGCCTGGTGGGAAGTCATCGAGCGGCCAGCGCGAGCCGCTGCCGACCGTGCGCCGTTGTCCCGACACCCAAGGCTCCAAGCACAGCCGGACGTCTCCCAGGACTGCCGGGACCACCGCGTCTCTCGCAGACTCTTTAGCAACCGGTTCCTCTGTCCAGCGCGTGCGTGTGTGTGCGCGGGCATCAGGGGCTGCCGCCGGCCTTGGGGGTGTCACTTGTACAGAAGATCCGTGGTCTTATCGGATAACGTCTGCAGAAGAGCCCTGGGGAAGGCACGCTGCCCTGCACGGACAGAGCGGAAAAACTCTATGCAGTTGCCTCCAGAGGATGGTGTCCAAGCTCGTTTGTGTTTTCAAGTCTGTCGTGGTGGTGGTGGGAGGGCGAAGCGGAAGGGTTGCACCTGGGTTGGTGTCTGGGTGCACAAAGGTGTTTCCAGATCCCGAAGGAGAGGGAGCGACGTAGCCCCCGCTACGAGGAATGATGGTCTCCCACCTGCCCGCTGCTCACGTGGACTCCGCTGGAGGAGCATTTTGGTAGTCTAGTGGGTAGGTTGGACAGCAGCAGCCAGCGCCACTGCCCTCCGGCTGGGGTGAGAGCGCGGAGCGAGGACATCCGTACTTGGAACGAGGAAATGGCCGGCTGCTATTCCTGTATACAGCTGCAAAACAAGGCATGGTTTTGACCAGCAGACATAGGCTGGCAGTGGAACTCCAGGTCCGGGCAGAGCAGGAAGAGAAAACCCTCTTTGGCATCCCAAGGCCATTTTCTTTCAAACTACCTTTAGTCCCACTAGACTTGCTCAGGGTGGAGGGGCTGGTCCTGCTGGTTGGCAGGGATCTCATGGTGTTGCAGGGGCGGGAAGCGTCCCTTGCCAGGCGAGGGTTTGGGAAGCCACCTGAGCACCAGGTACGCATGGAGGGACATCTTTGGGTCCTCTACGCTGCCACGCTCGGCTCCTTGAGCAGCCTGGGCCGGGGCAATTGCCTTTTCCCGCAGCGCTTACAAGTCCCACCTCGCTAACAAGCTCAGTGGGGTGAACCCACATGAGTAAGGGCTACAGCATCACATCCCGACCTCGGTAGGTTGTGAGAGCATCTCTCTTTGTGTTACTGCTTTGTCCTTCTGTATTCGTTGCTTTCCAAACTGCGACCCCCTGTAGCAGATGAGCTGTTGGGTGGGAATCCAGGCACTGGCTCTACTCTCCAGCTCCGTCGTTTCCTTCCAGAGTGCTCTGTTTTGAACAAATACGTGTGTGTGATAAGGAGCAGCTTTCCTCTATCCTGTTTTTAAGGATTGCACGTGGAATGAGCAGCCTTTGGAGTCGGTGCTTCCATGCCCTGAAGTGGTTCGCTGGTGGAATGTGTCCTGGGGCTTTGCTGTGGAGCACTGAGGCTCTGGGCCGGATGGTTGGTGTTGGGTATCAAAGAGGAGAGTTTGGGGCTGTCCATGAAAAGGGAAATGGGTTCATTTTGAAGCTAAGTGTTGTACAGTTGCCCCAAGAGCCCTGGGGCTGCGGGTGCAGGTTTTGCACCACGCGAGGGGTGTTGCAAAGCAGCGGGGAGAGGAGCCCCGCTCTACCAAGGCACCATTGGGCGCAACGCTCCTCCAGGCCGAGCCAACGAGACTGTCCTCGGGTCTGTCCAACAGACCCAGCTAAAGCCTTACATGACTCTCCAGGTTAAAAAACACCATTTTTTCCCAACCTTTTTTTCTGGCAACGAGGGCATCCCCTCTCGATGAGCACGCGCATCACAAGAGATGAGGAGCCGTCTCTCTCCCTTAGCTCCTGCAGGGAATCTAGGACCTTTGCCACTTCCCCGACTATGGGATAGATGCAGTAGCTGCCCACAAGTGATGAGCGACTGTCCCTCCCGCTGCCCAAGTTGGTCATTCCTCAGAAAAGGTCTCTCTTGTGTTTACTGTTGTAAGAAACTTGTTTTTTTTTTAAAAAAAGAAGAAAAAAGAAAAAGATTTTGTTTGTAAGTAATTATTCAGCCATTTGCCACAATATATATCTGTGAATAAGAAGGGAAATGTTTTTTATGATGGTGAGAAAATTGTATATATATTTTAGTTCATCGCAGAACATGCAAAAATTGCAATGGAATACGTTGGAAAATAATATGTAAATTCCTTGGGTTTTTCCTTTGCACTGCACTAACTGGGGGTAGAGAGGGATTGGGTGGAGGGGATTTAAAGGTAAAACTGTTTGTTTATGGAATAGTTTATAGCTGGGAATTTGGAAATCATTTGGAATAGCTTGTAATGCTGGAATAGAAGTTTTAGCTGCTACTTAGAAATCCTTTTGCATGTGGTTTTTCCAGATCTTTTTAAGTTACAATGCATCTGAGTAAATTCCATAACAAAAAGAAAAAGTGTAATTTCGCTGATAGGTTTTTTTCCAACCATGGTTTTTACTGCCAATAAACATGCATTCTTTCCTGCATAAAGGGGTCAGTTTTATCTGGGGCTGCTTGTTGCTAAACCCTCTCTGCTTCCAGGTGGGACATGGGGAGCAGTGGTGTTTGAGGCAAGTTTTGGTCCTTCCAGTGAAGTACTCCTGAAAATGGTTATTTTTCAAGGCCTATCTGTTGCTTAGCCGTGTTCTGACTTTCTTAGCAGTTGTTTCTCATGCTGTTGTCGTGCATTCTTGCCTGGCTACTTGGCTTTGTGCTTCCCGAGAGTTTTGTGCTCTCCGCCCAAGTCGAATCATTTTGGGTAAGAAAGGGGTAATTGAGAGAAGGAGCATAAGATACAGAGTTTTTGCAGCTCTGTGAAGCCTGCAGTGTTTTCTCTTTGCTTTTCAGAGGGTCTGCTTAAAAGGCATTGTGGAAACAAGCAGAGGTTGTGCCAGAAGCAGGTTATTAGTTGGGAGCTTTCAGGCTCTTGGATGCTGATGGGGAAAGTTTAGCTAGATATTTAACCTCACCTGAGGAGATGACTCCTGCCAGGGATAAACCCTGGCACTGCCAGCCAGTCTAAGGGATGCTGTCCAACACGCAACACATGAAATACAGGTTGTCATCACTCCGGACCCCAAGTTGTGATGGGACTGCAGGAACACGGCGCTGGAGCCCAGAGCTGCCCGCTGGCTGCCAACACTCTTGCAAGAGCAGGTAAATGCAAAAAATCTGTTTACCTGAGAGGTCCTGTCCCTGCAGCATCGCTGCTATCCCACGGGATCCAAGCCAACTGCCTCGGACCAGGATTTAGAGTCGTAGACTCCCAAGCTTTCTTGCTTTCCAAAGAGCAAATCGGGATGAGCGCAGCGGGCTCTGCACAGGACCCGTCTGCCCCCAGCACGGGCACGCGCTGGCAGCTCGGGGCAGCTGCCGTTCTGCAACACGCTCCGCTTGCTCGTTTGTGTGTTGGCCGTAATGTTCCGTGTGACCTGGAAAGCTCCAGCTGGCGTGCAGCAACCACTGTGCTCCTCCAGCGCCCAGTTCATCTACAAACTGCATGGAAAGCATGGAACTGGCTTAGGCTCTGTCTACACAGGACTGATCATCAAAAAAATAACCTCCTGTTTCAGCTCTGTAGCTGCATCAAAGCCTCAGTTCTCAGAGGGATTTGAGGGCACAGCCACTTTCTCTGCTTTTTCTAGTGCTGCTGCGAGCTCGAGGAACATCTCGGGCTGTTGTAGTACAGACTTCAGCTTGCATTGCCTTAGGTCATGTCTAACCCAAAGGTTATGTTTGTTAATTAGTACACACTGCTGAACCGATTCTGTCCTGCCAAACAAAAACACCCCACTGTAAACGGGAGTTTAGACTTGTTTACATTTCTTTGTCTGGGTGAGGGTTACCTTGACTGACTAGTTTGCTGAGCTGAGGGAAAATTGGGGCTCGCTCTTCAAAATGTTGCAAGAAGCTGATTTTTATCTTTAGAGCAGAAATGCTGCCTGAGATGTTTCCGTAGCAGCAGAACCCCCTCCCTCTGCTCCTAATTCTTCCCAGATCGGGGAAGTTTGGGTGCAAACCCTCACTGTGGGGCATGTTCCGAATGGAAATGCAGAGGCATTAGGAGGTGGGGAGCCAAGTGGAGCAGTACCCAGGATGTCAGCGCTGCAGAGAGCTAAAATCCTCCCCCCAAATGCCAGTGTCTGGGCTCTCTTCTGCAGCTCTCCTTGGTGGCAAGGGGACCTGAGCACAAGGACAGGGAATGCAGCTTGGCCCCTGCTTTGTGAACTGCCTGGCCAGCTGGCCACAGCTCCACCCAGGGCCCTGCTGCTCTGAGATAGCTAAATCTCCCTCTTCAGAGCTCCTTGAAAGAGCTTAGAGGTCGTGCACATCCTGCCCAAACAGGCCCTAATTGCAGCAGCGAGTTCTGGGCAGGCTGAAGAAAAACGCTTTGAGTCGAGAGTTCTAAATTAAGGGCTTTTTTAAGCCCCCTCTACGCTAATTTATTGGCGTTACCACCTTAGCTGTGGGCTCCTTAGGTTGGGTGCAACAACCACGTAAATCCATTTGAATCCTGCCCTGAAAAGGCGAGCGCCGGGAGCGCGTGCAGGAGTCTCAGCCGTTGCTTCCCCTCGCTGTGTTTGCTCGGTGGCACGCGGCCGGGACGCTGCAGCGTGCGCCAAGCCAGCCCCGGCGCCGGCGAGCGCCCCCGGGCCCCAGCTCAGCAATTTGCCTTGTGCGGGCACTGCGGGACGGAGAAGAAAAGTGGCTTTTTCCCCTCGGTTTCTCTGCTCTCGCTGCCTTTTGTTCCCACGGAGGCGCGGGAAGGGGTGCGAGCAGGGCTGGCTGCTCGCCGGCTGCGCCGGGCAGCTGGAAAAGCTGCAGCTGGCCGGCGGCACGGGGCGGTTTCGCCTCGGTTAGTTAATATTTTTGCAGCAGGGCAGCCGTCCGGCCGGCGCGGAGGAGGCAGAGGCCCCGTTCCCGTTTGAGCACCGAGGGCTGCTCCGCCAGCGGCGTCTCCGGTGAGTCGGGGGACGTGTTGCAGGACAGCGGCGGCTCCTGCAAGAAACTTCCCCGGGGCTGTCGCGGGATTTGTGCCGCGGGATTTCCGGCCTGGCCGGGTGTTTTTGCAGGGCGCCCTGGCTCGGCGCGGCGGCCCCGGGGTGGGGAGCGCGGGTGCGTTTCGGATGGTGTGGCAGCGTTTGGGGGTGTTGCCACCGCACCCCGTCAGCTCCGTGCGGGATCCGGGGAGCTTTCTCCCTTGGGAATGGGGGGAGGATCCGGCCAGCTGGCTTGCAGGGCTTGCTCGCCCCGGACTGGGCGCTGTCTTGGTGGCTTGTCCAGCAGCTGCTCGTGCCTCTTCGAACACAAACCTTGTGTTTTACACAGCAACTGCAGCGCCCAGTGCACCAAAATCAAGGGTGGAGCGACCCACAGCTCACCACCTATTATGCTTTTAAACGTGGGTCCCCAAGGGGGTGTTTTGGGCAGGATGCGCGGTGACAATTGCATGCGCTAGGAAAGGGGGTGCAAGGAGAGGGGTCCCCAGAGCTGCTTGGAGCTTCCCCCCTTGCCAGCCCCAGCACGGGCTGAGATGGCAGCAGTGGCAAAGGCCAAAACGGCAGCAGCTGGAGCAGTGTTGCCGAGGGCCAAAGCAACAGCGGTGGCGAAGGACAAAATGGCATCGACAGACGAGGCGCAAGATGGCGGTGGCAGCGAGGGCCGGGATGGCGGCAGCGCCCGTCCTCGCGGTGCCCCTCTCAGCGTCCCCGTGTGTTGCAGGTGCCCATGGCTGCCCTGAGGCGCGCGCTGCATCGCGCCGCTCCCTGGAGGGCGGCGCGCGGCCCCGGCACCGCCGACAAGAACGTGCCCTACGGGCAGACGCTCAGGGACGACGCCGGCGGCCATGGTGCCGGCCCCACGCGCCCGCTGCCGCCCGCCGCCGCCGTGGTGGTGGTGGGGGGCGGCAGCCTGGGCTGCCACACCGCCTATCACCTGGCCAAGATGGGCGTCAGCGACGTGGTGCTGCTGGAGCGACACCGCCTCACTGCCGGCACCACGTGGCACACGGCTGGTGAGCCCGTCCCCACATCCCCAAACCCTTTGGAGGGCCCAGGATTTGCAGGGACGCTCCTTCGTTTGGTGGTTGTGGCGCCAGAGCCGGCTCCTTTGGCTGGGAGAGGGGAGCTCGGCCTTGTTTCCATGCGTTTCGTGGCTTTGGGAAGGGTTTCTGCTCTGGAAATCTTCTTCCCGTTCCAATAACACCTTGGGGTGGGAAGGAGATCCATGAGCTCCTGTGTGGGTGCAAGATGGAATGAGGAGCAAGGGGAGAGGCTGGAGGGGCCATTTGTCCCCCCACTCTCCTCTTTGGGGGGAACAGATGGAAGGGTGGCTTTGGCAGGGACAGATGGAAGGGTGGTCTTGGTAGGAAGGGATGAAGGGGTGGCTTTAGTGGGGATGGCTGGAGGGGTGGTTTTGGCAGGGATGGATGGAGGGGTGGCTTTGCCAAGGACAGATGTAGGGGTGTCTTTGGTGGGGATGGATGAAGGGATGGCTTTGACAGGGATGGGTGAAGGGGTGGGTTTAGTAGGGATGGAGGGAGGAATGGTTTTGACAGGGATGGATGGAGGGGTGTCTTTCATGGGCATGGATGGAGGGATGGACATGTGGCACGCCGGGCTCTTGTCCCCACAGGGCTGCTGTGGCAGCTGCGTCCCAGCGACGTGGAAGTGGAGCTGCTGGCCCACACGCGACGCGTGGTGAGCCAGGAGCTGCCCGAGGAGACGGGGCTACACGCCGGCTGGGTCCAGAATGGCGGCCTCTTCATCGCCTCCAGCAAGCAGCGGCTGGACGAGTACAAGCGGCTCATGTCGGTAGGGGTGAAACACCAGCCTGCCTCTTGGTGCTGGTTCAGGTGGTGCTGAATGGACACGACATCCTTACACATAACCCTCCGTGTCCTCTTCCAATGCCTTGGTAGGAAAGTTCCTAGATTTAATGTATCTCACTTCAGCTTTGCAAAGTGAAGCCCAACTGTGGATTTCTTCCAGTTGCACAGGCAGTGGATATGGAATTAATGGGACAGTGATCCTTTAAAAGCTCTAGAGACCTTCCCATGGTGATTCACCATGTTCTCTGTCCTGCGGCTTGCCTTGGAGCAGCTCAGAGCTGTGTCTATGGACAGGCATGGAAGACCATGCAAGGTTACCTAGGAGCTAAGCATGTCCCATGGCTTTCTTCCTCATCCCCCAACACACCATCATCTAAAGCTTCTGTCACCCACAGAATTCCCGATTCTCTCCTCTGGTTTGCAGCTTGGGAAGGTCTATGGCGTGGAATCCTACGTCTTGTCCCCCTCTGAGACCAAGGACCTGTACCCACTGATGAACGTGGACGACTTGTATGGCACACTATATGTCCCTAAGGATGGCACCATGGATCCTGCTGGCACCTGCTCAACTCTTGCTAGAGCAGCAACTGCCAGAGGCGCTACGGTAATTACTAATTAATGCCTGGTGGTGCTGGGAGCAGGGATCATCGCCTGCCCTCCACGGCTCCCAGCTCCTCCTGTCCCAATGGAGCAGAGCTGCTCTTGCAACGTCTCTTGTAGACGTCAGGCCTGTTTGCCCTGAGAAAGGGAGTTGTCCTCTTTGATTCTTGCAGCCACAACAGCAATGCTGGCAAGCTGCCAGTGTTGCACTGGAGCTCTGGGGTCTAGAGAAATTATGTGAAAGAATAAAAAGAGTTTTGGGAGCAAGATAAGGCAGAGCCCCGAGGCAAGGTCCTCAAGAGAGCAGAGCTCTTAGGGTAAAATGACACAGTCCAATCTTAAAGCCCATCGTTCACATATAACTTAACTCTTGTGCAAGGCATGCAAATAATAAACATCCTACAGGTACTCAGAGTAATCTGGAATTAGTGAGAATTTTATTATCTAGCAAAAGCAATGGTAACTGTTTACGAGCAAAGGGAAGTTGGACAGTGTCAGGCCTCTGCTTTAATTCACCTTCCCCAGCACAGAGAGATTTTGGGACCAGGTGTCAGATGAACTGGATTATCCCATTAAAATTTCACCCCTGCCAATGATTGTCTTCCTTCTTCTCTGCTACTAGATTATAGAGAATTGCCCAGTGACTGGTATCCAGGTCAAAGTCGATGATATGGGTGTGAAGAGAGTGTCTGCAGTAGAGACGCCCCATGGGACTATCCAGACTCCCTGCGTGGTGAACTGTGCAGGTACGGGGCAAAAAGCAACGTGGGAGTTGGACCTGTCCATAGGTCTCTCTGCGTGGAGTCCTGTGCGGGCTCTGACTGCTCAATCCTGCATGCTGTGTCTCTGGTAGGTGTGTGGGCCCCAACCTTGGGCCGAATGGTGGGCGTCCACGTGCCGCTGGTGGCCATGCACCATGCCTACGTGGTGACGGAGCGCATCGAGGGCATCCAGGTCAGTCCTGCACTGTGCCGCACGTGTGAGGAGCTTGTTCCTTAGCTCCCAGCTGGGCATCTCTCAGGAACTTGAGCATGGTGACAAAAAATGAACATTCCCAGAGGTTCCCCACAACCCGAGCACGAGATCCATAGTGGCTGGAGGGCAGCGCTGGTGCTCCTGTCCCTAGGCCTAGGCAGAAGGAGAGAAGGAGATGTGATGGAGCACCCTGGACTGTATCATCTACCTACCCTCCGCCTTCAGTGCAACCTGGTGCCATCAGGCCAAGCTCTGCAGGCACAAATCAAACAAGGCGCTCAGCGCCAAGTGCAATTTTCTGCCTGGAAGGCTGACTTGGAGCCCATATGTGACGCACCGTTGGGTTATTTAGTAGCTGCAGCGTTGTCACTGCCGTGGAAGTTTAGCTGGGGCTCCTCGGTGCAGATCTCCAAGGGGAGAAATGAGAGCCCAGGGGAAAGGCAGGACAGAGCTCGGGTTTCTGAAGCTGGAATCAGTGTTTCAGCTGCCTGACTTCTCGTAGCAAATGCGCACAAGTACCTGACTACCTTAATAGAGTTGTATTTAATATTTAACAAGGTTTGGATTAGCATGCAAATTTTTCCTTATCTTTTTATTTTTTCCCCCTCTGTAGGATTATTATAGGGTCTCTGATGTGCTTTGTGTTTGGCAACATTCATAATAATGGCAAACACTTTGTGAACAAGTCCCAGTCCCCAACAGGAAGAACTACAACTCTCCAAGCACTTCTAAACCCTCCCAAGAAATCTCTTCCTGCCTTCTGGCTACAGAGATTTGTTTGTGAATTAAAGCAGACTTCATTCACACAAGCTCTTTGGGTGTTGAGGGTATCACACTGGTTAGATCCCATCCCACTGAAGCAGCCTGTGTCTGCATTTTCAGTCCTAGATATCTTATTTTTTTAAAAAAAAAAATGCTGGTGTCAGTGGTTATATCTGTAGTCTAGTAACTCCTATGTGCTGTGCAAGCACAGTGCAGAAGAGGTTGCAGCTTATGTACTATGGTGCCTCTTATTTAAAACCTTGCTTGTCAACATGACGTACAGTCAACTCTATACCAATACTGTTCATGTCACCTAAACATTTGGCAATGTATTGACATTGACAATTGACATTGACTTGCGCTGTACTGTGTGCTTGGTCTGTGCAGCATCCAGGTCATTTTGGCACCTCATGCTCCACATCAGGCCAGGGCTGGGGCATCTAGCCCATGTGCTGGAGTGGACTCATCTAATGTGACTGTTGTGGCCTCTCCTTTCCTCTCAAGCTCTATAAACCTCTTTGCTGCTGGTGGGTCTGCTGGATTTACTGGAGTCGAAGTGATTGTCCCCCTCTGTGAATGACATGGGTACCACGAGGGGATTTTGGGGGCTGGAGGAGACTCCAAAGAGTCACTGCTGATGCCATGGATGTGCTGGAGCACAAGGAGAGAGAAAGACCTGCTAATGTGCTGGTACTTGTGCACCAGCTTGTCTGACTCACCTTGCCAATGAAAAGAAAACCACCCTCCACCTGGCCAGAGGAGAGGAGCTCCCAGCAGTTCTCAGCCCCTCGGACCCCATCTCACCCCTCTGCTTTTCCTCCCTATTTTTAGAACATGCCGAACGTTCGAGATCACGACGCCTCGGTGTATCTCCGTCTCCAAGGCGATGCCCTTTCCGTGGGTGGATATGAGTCAAATCCAATATTCTGGGAGGAGGTGAGCAATGCCAAGAGTTGTTTTTTTTTTTTTTTTTTTTTTTTGAGGAAATAAGGCATGTTACCAGGAAACCCACATTTGATGGAGTGGGCGCTGAAGTCAGCTCCTCATCTCCTGGATCATGTGCCAGAAAGCACAGAACAGCAGCTGCTAATAACCAGCCTCCGCGAGGCCAAGGAGGCCGTGGGTGGTGTGAGGAAAGCACAAGAGCATCTTCCACTTGAGTCTGGCCAAGGTGTAGGTATGAGATGCTCCCCCTAGCAAAAATGAAATGTGAAAGCTGGCCTGGTCCTTGTGGGGATGTAGAAGGTCACTAGGCAATGTCCTGCCATGCCGCAGGCTCTTCATCAGGTCGCCCATGACTCTACTGCAAGCAGGGCCTCTCACCCTGGTGCTTGTCTAGGCAGCTGATAAGGGCACAAAGAAACCAGAATCTCAAACTACCCTCTGCTAGACTGCCAAAGCTGAGAATTTCTTCTACCATAAACCAAACTCTCCTTTTGTATCCTATTCCTATTGTGTCCTATTCCTGTTTTCTCACCTTCAGGTATCTGAGAAATTTGCTTTTGGCCTCTTTGATCTGGACTGGGATGTTTTCATGCAACACATTGAAGGAGCTGTCAACAGAGTGCCGGTGCTGGAGAAAACAGGGATTAAATCCACTGTGTGCGGGCCAGGTAGTATTTCAGAAGCAGTATCATCGCAGCCGTGTTCCTTGACAGTGATTTTTGGAGGCATATGGTCCCGTTTATTCCTTGCTTACACCTTGCCATGTGGCTGCGCGATGCTAGGTTAGGGTTGGAAATGGTTTGTTTGACGTAACAAAAACATAATTTGTTTGACAAAGACAGGAGTGAATTTGGCATGTCCTGAGAACCGCTCTGCTTCAAGCAGCTGGTGGGAAGGTTAATTAGAGCCAATATTGACTTGACTGACCTGCCTTGGCACTGACGAGCCTGGCATAGCTGGCTCTTTCCCCTGGCACGGTGGCTGTTTTGATTCTTGCACATGTCTGCTTTGGCAAGATCGCAGATCTGGTGGCAACGGTGGGTGGGTTTGTCATGCGTGGGGGTGGAAGGGAAGCAGGGATGGCCAGCTCGGCTCTGCTGAACCTCGGAATTTGTACAGCATGTTATTATCCTCTTGTGCATCATCTTTCTGTGAGAGAGCCTCTCGTGTCCCTGGGTGTTGGGGAGCTTGCAGGTCCTGTCCGCTTTGGCAATGGGATCTTACCCGCTGCAAATCTGCTGCAGCACGTGGTGAGCGCTGGCCCCACGCCCAAGGGGTGCAGCGTTCCCCAAAGGCATGCGAGCAGAAAAGCAGAGGCTGGGGTGCTGCATCCTCCTTCATTGGGCTGTGTCCCCAGAAAACTTCAGAATCTGTTTGAGACACAAACTGAACACAGAGAAACTCTTGGGTTTGGCTGCAATCGTGCTGTCTTCCTAGAGGTGGCATCCTAGGCTTAGCATAGGTAGATAAATAGTTGGGGGGAGTATTGCCCAGCATTGCCTTTCTTGGTGCAGATCGAGAGGCTTTTTAACAGAGATTGTTAGAAAAATGGAAATGTTTGCAGCTGTTGATGTTGCCACTGGACTGGAGAATTAAGGGACAGATATTCTGAGTGGCCTGTGATTTTGCAAGTATTATTTTTTACTATTATTTTTACAATAGCTTTCCAGGCTCCTGTGCAGATTAGATTTCCATCAGAGGGTGTCTGGTGTGGAGTTAAAGGCAATAGCCTTTCTTTAGGACAGCCCAAACAGGAGCTGGGCTATCCCACTTCAGACGATGCTGCCCTCACGGGAACTTTGCATGGGGTTCAGCAGTTGAATCCAAGCCCTGCACGATGTCACCAGCCACGGCAGCCCTGGAATCCACCCGATCAGCCTCATTTTGCTGAAGCACTTAAAGGGAAGCCCTCTAGTCCCTCAGAGAGGGGGCCGTGCTGCTGTGCAAGGGGAAAGTAGGGCACGTCCCTTGCCCTGAAGCAGATGGAACGTGCTGTGAACAAGGTGCAGGCCTTGGCCCTGGCTGGTGCAGGTTTGATTAAACTGTAGTTGAAGGACGGCTGGTGGCCTCCAGCGGGAGGCTGACGTGGTGGAGACGCACGCCTAATATTTGTAACACAGCGATGCAATTTCCAAAGCGGCAGGAATCCTCCCGTCCTGCTTCTTGATTTGAGCTAGCATCTGCTCTGCCCGCAACAGCTGAGTCGCGCTGATGGAAGCAAATAGCAAATGCTTGTCGTTTCCTCGGCGCGGTTAAATATTTCACCAACAGAACAACTAACCCCTTTTAGGAAGTTGTCCTTTGCCCAGGAAGTTGCCTGTGGGGATCTGGAAGGGCTGCCCACGTGCCCAGCAGTGCCAGGGAACTTGTGCTCCCAGCACTTGGGGCAAAGCAGACACTGCTGGGGTAGTTCAGGGCATTTCTGCTTTGGCTGGTGTTTCCAGTTCTAGGGGGTTTGAGATGAATTCAACCCAGAACTGGCCCTAATGCTCATCCCATTCCTCCAAGCTCCAAAATAAGTAGCCAAAATGGTCATGAGGTGTGAACAAGGGTTTCAGAGACACCAAGTGTAGCTATAGGAAACAGTCTGCAAATACAGGGAGAGATGGGGCTCTCTTTCTAAACTCACCTTCTGAAGAGCCTTGTTGTACCTTCAGGCCAATGGGGTACTTCAATGTTTATTTTTATGGCAGTGGAACCTAAGTGTTGAAGTGGTGAGCTGAATGGGGACAGGGCAAGCACCAGGTACCTGGGTCTGTCTGGGCCCAGCTGCAGAAGGGGCAGATGGAGGGTGCCAGAACTAAGATGCTGGGAAGTGCTCAGGGCTGCTCTGAGTTGCTCCACAGACCTCTCTGGGAGGAGGAGCAGGATGAGATCAACTTGGGAAACTGGAGCAGCCCCACTCCTAAAGCGTGGGCTGCATCCCTGGAATGCCCAGCCTGGCCTTCCTGATGGCTTCTCCGGTCTGTGTCTTCCAGAGTCTTTCACAGCCGACCACAAACCACTCATGGGTGAAGCCCCAGAAGTCCGAGGCTTCTTCCTCGGCTGCGGTTTCAACAGCGCTGGTAAGAAGGGATCAGAAGAAATCATGTCTCTTGTGTCCTCAGCTCTGTGAGCATTTAAATCCCAGGCAGACCCTCAGCAACTAAAGAGGGGGTTCAGCCTCTTTGCCTCATTTTGGTCCGTGTCTCCTTCCCTAGGGATGATGCTCGGAGGCGGCTGTGGGAGGGAACTGGCTCACTGGATCATCCACGGGCGGCCAGAGAAGGACATGTACGGCTACGACATCAGGCAAGTCCCCTCCGCTCTGCAGGGCTGCTCCAGGGCACGTTCTCCTTCACCAAAATGGGTCTGGGTTGTCTTTGGGGAACGTTCTGGAGCAGAGCTGGCTCAGGAGGCCGAGGCTGGGCTCTCCCCAGCCTGTCGTCAGAATTAGGTGTCAGGGGACAGAGGACAGACGTTTCCCTGCCCACATGGGGCAGTCCCTGCGCAGCAGCCTGCGACGCGCCCAGAAGCTGGAATCAATTATACTTAACAGCTTTAATGAATTTACATATTGGGTTTATCTCATTTGCCTCATTCCGTTTTTGCGCAAACATCAGACGCGAGGAGATTGTGATGATGAGAAAGGACAGGGTAATTACGTTTGGGTTTTGCTGTTGTTCAATTAGTGCCATGCCTAATCCTCTAAGTTAATAATCGAGGGTGATGATTTCAACTGCAGAAAGATTAGCTTTTCCCCACTCTCTGCAGCACGACATAGAGATTTTCGGCGTGCAGATGTTGGCTCTGTAATTGCTTTTTACTTTCCCAATTATATTTGATTGGGTTTGGGCTTTCTTATGGGGCTCCTAGCAATGACAACAAGCTCGTCAGGGTCAAAGCTTGTAAAGTTGCTTTGTTTTAATAGGGAAGTTGGAAGAGAACTACTGAATCAGCCAGGGGCCCTGGGCGTGAGGGGAAATCAGGGCTGTTGCCTGTAGAGGTCAGCAGAAAGACGCCTCCAGTAGCCTCCCTCCAGCTGGCACTGCTGCCAGAGCCCACCGATCCTGGCTGCTCCTGGAAAAAATAAATCACTGGACCGGACAGGCCCCGCTGCAAGGGCACAGGCACCATTGCACAGGCACAACCCCAAGCCGTCGTGAGGCTGGGCTGGGCTTTGATCCCTGCAGAGGAGCTTTCCAGCCCCTGCGGAGGCATCGGCATTGCCCGGGTGGCTCTGACACCCCGTGTCTGAGCTGCAGGTGCCGTTTCTGGTGCGGGTCCTGCAGCACTGATCTGAGCAGGCAGCCCGTGGAGCTGGCATCTCCCTCGCTGCCTTCCGCAGATGGAGGAGCTGTGGCCCCAGGGAGGGCTCCGTGACTTGACAAAGGTCACAGGAGGGAGTCTGTGCCGGAACCAGAACTGTCACGTCTCTATTTTACCTCTCCTCATTTTCCCCATGATCTTTTTTTTCTTGTGGGTTGCAGATACAAGCCCAGAGTTCCTGCTCAGCCTCCCAGATCGACCATGTCACCCCCGTGTCTCCTCCTAGAGTTTTAATTTCCATTTCTGAGTGGGACTGGGTGCAGGCACGTGATGCCTCTTGGGGTCCTGCTCCTCAGGAGCAGCTGTGGGGATGTACTCATGTTTTCCATCTCTCTCCAACCTGCTACTAAAGCAGTGGGGAGCCAGCCCTGTGGGCACCCTACACCTCAACCCAGCCGTCCCACTGTCAGCCTTGACTCAAGCCCTTGCTGATTTTGTGCCACGCTGCAATGTGTGGCACAAAGGGACATTTTGTGTCCAAGGACAACTTTGGCTGAGCAGCTTTGTGGCCATTGACAGTCTTGCCTGGGACCTCGCTTAGATTGCTCTGTCTGTTCAGATTTTTGCATTTCCTGGAGTTTTATTTCCTGTCAATCCTCATCGGAGCTGCCACTGCCACTTCCCAAGTACCCCGCGTCTCGTGCACCCACTCGGCGTGCAGAAAGCAGGGACAAACCTTGAAAATATTGACTTAAAAGGTCCAATAAACTACCCAGGCTGGCCTTTTGCCTGATGTCTGGCTCCCTTTCTGCAGTCCTGGAGGCTCTGGGCTGCAGTGCTGAAAGCCACTTGTCCCCACTCACTGGAGGCAGCGAATGGGAGAGGTGCCACCAGCGGGCGCGGGCTTCTTGTCCGTGAGTTATAGGTCTCTGCTAATAATAATATGAGCATGTGCTGAACTGGCACATTCCTTCAGGAGCTTTTCTGTTTGAAAGATGAAAATCTGTCAAACAACTGTAAAATGCTTTGGCTTTTATTTATATTGCAGGCCAGGGAGAATTGGATGAAAAATGTCAAGAATGTTCATGGCTCTTTCCTTTCTCAGGGCTGCATTTAAAACGGGGCTGTGCAAAAGAGGAGCGCTCAGAGGCCAGCCTGATGCTGAAGCAGAATAAACCCAAATTCTCCCCTTATTTTTCCCCCCAGCAGGACCATATTCTGCTCTCAGTCTGGGGGTCAATCTACCTAAATGCATGGCCATGGTGCAGTCCAGGTGGTGCCAAGCCCTGGTCTGGAGGGTGGAGCTGTGGGTTGATGTGTCCGTGCCCTTCTCCTGCTTTCCAGGCGCTTTCCCCATTCCCTGACCGACAACAACCGCTGGCTGCGCGAGCGGAGCCACGAGTCCTACGCCAAGAACTACTCCGTGGTGTTCCCCTATGACGAGCCTCTGGCGGGACGCAACATGAGGAAGGACCCCCTGCATGAGGTGAGGTGCTCCCCGAGCAAAGGGAAGGGTGCCTGCACTGGGTGAACCCTTTCAAGAGACACCCCTGAAATGCCAGGCTGGATTTCCAGCAGTTCTGCTCGCCAGAAGCGTTGCAAAACGAAGCAGAGCCACCTGAAGCACCCCTGGCTGCTGGTAAGTGTGACCTGAGGGCTGACTCCAGGTCACAAGCAACTTCATTTACCTTCCAGCCATGGTCCAGAAGGAACCAAGTTTCCGGAGCCCATTGCAGCTACAGCTAATTCAAATCATGCCATTTCTCTTCCAATGGAAAATTAAGACCTAAACAGTAAAACAGACATTCCTCCCTGCCGTCCCCCATTGTTTGCTTGACAGCTCAGTTGTTTTCTGTCACCGAGGATGCAATTTATTTTTTAATGGGGTGTCTAATAAGCGATGCCCACTTGACTGACAGCCTGGTATTTATACATGAAGCTCCAGAACATGTGCTATGTTTTATAAATAGACACTGAATCATTTCTAAAATATTCAACAAAATCTATTCTTTTCTGAACAGAGGCACCAAACAAAAATATCTTAATGGATCCCTAATTAATTGCATGCAGAGATATTTGCCTGAGAACACAGAGGAGGAATGAAAAGGTTGCCGTATAAAGCTTAAGTGTTATTATATAATTACTGTTAAAAACACTGGGGAGAATCTTCCTGTCCAGATTTAACTTCTTTTGATCGCTAGCACATCAAAACACAAACTGAAGTGCAGTGCACAACTGACCCATGGGACTGCTTGCTGTCGGATGCTGTTAAGGCAAATACCTTTGTTGGACAAAAATACACGGGATTTCAAGGGAGCTGCAGTTTCCCACTATTTTGTAAAACAAATTGCAGAGCTGGTTTCTGGTATCACCCTCCCTTCTTGCCACTTGGTTGCTGATAGCCGAAGCCGAAGTGTTGAGGATCTGGCCTTGAACACGCGTTTGAGGGCAGCCTCAGCATTACCAGCTGAATGAGAAGGGCTTAACAGGAAGATTTTGGTTTTTTACTGTTTTTCTGTCATTCTCTTCCTTAGGAACTGCTGCAACAAGGCTGTGTTTTCCAGGAGAGACACGGCTGGGAGAGGCCTGGCTGGTTCAACCCCAAGGGAGCAGCTCCGGTAAGGACAGCACTTGCTTTCGGGGGAGATGTTCAGCCCGTGCCCTGCTTGAGGATATAGTGCATGTGCAGGACGAACCCTGTGCGCGTGGGCAACGTGCTGCGCTTTGCAGGCACGGTGGGAACAGACTTGAAACCTCCGTCCACACTGAACCCGCTGCCTGTTTTAGCTGCTTGGCTTTGGCCACCTCCCTTGCTGCCCTCCGTCCTGCCCTCCTCTCTCCCCAGGTCCTGGATTACGACTACTACGGGGCTTACAAGCGGCAACGGCACAGCAACTACACGTACAACGAGCTGCTGGGGGCCGAGTACACCTTCGACTTCCCCTCGCATCACCACGTCGTGAGTGGAGACCAGGGGACGTTCGGGACAGGCGAGGGACCCTTAGGGGCAAATCCCAGCCACAAGCCAGGAAGAAACACCCAGCTTTAAGCTTTAACTGTTACCACTGACAGCTATCATGTTTTCCTGCTGCAGTGGGATTGGGCAGATAGGCAGTGCTGCGTTGTTGCCAGTTTTGCTCCATGTAATATCTCATTTTTGAGGAATGTTTTGAAGCGCTACAACAAGCTTCACAGGCGCTGGATGCAGCCTGAAATTGTTTCCCATTACATATGTGGTTTAATGTGTCTCTCTCTTTTTAGACTGAGAAGGGTATAGCTCAACCTCGCGGTGTTTCTTTCTTTAATTTTAGATCAAGAATGAATGCTTGACGTGCAGAAATGCCCTGGCTCTCTTTGACATGTCTTATTTTGGGAAATTCTACCTGGTTGGTCCTGAAGCGACAAAAGCAGCCAACTGGCTTTTCACCGCTGATGTTTGCAAAGCACCAGGTACTGGCTCAACCTTGTTATTTCAGCTCCCGAGTGCCGGGGGAGTTATTGATGTTTCTGCTGAGCGTTGGACTAAGAGGCTGCCCTCGGAAATTACATCTTTAACCGAAACGAATAGTGGGTGACCCAGCGTGGCTTTTATCGTAAATGGTGCTTTTTGCAGAGGATGTGGGAAGCACCTGAGAGCGACCCCTTTCCCTGTCCTCCTTGAAGGGCTGTTTGCTCTCATCTGCACTGGTGCAAACCTGCTCTCTGCACCTGGGGTGAGAGCAGGGGGCATCTACCTATGAGAGCATAGCTGGAGAAATGGTTTTTCTGGGGTAAATAGCAGTGATACCCAGTGGATTCATCAGGTGGCAATAGCAGAGCAGTGCAAGGGGACCTATTCTGGGGACAGAGCCACGCTCTCACTGTGCATACACAGGACCTGGGAATTCTGCCTCTTGGAAGTGCTGCTGCTGCTGCCCACCCTACTCCCCTGGCACAGTTTTCTGGGTGCCCTGGGGTGTGTGGTCCTCATGAGCCCCTGTGTCTCCTCTTGCTCCTAGGCTCCACCGTGTACACCTGCATGCTGAACCGGCGAGGGGGTGTGGAGAGCGACCTGACGGTCAGTCGGATCAGCCCGGGGAACCCGGCCTCGCCGCTGGCGCCCGCCTTCCAAGGTAAAACCCGAGCCGTGGCTGCACGTTCACTTTGAGTCCCAGAGATTAAAACGTCTCTTTAATCTTGGCCACTTTCTAAAGCGACCTGTGCTTCTGCTGGCCTTAACCAGCGCATTTGGGAGCTGATTGCATTACCTGCTTCCCACCACCTTCTCCCCCCTGCGTCCCCCCTTGCTACATAACCCGATTATCCCCTTTCTCCTGGGGGCTTGTGCTCTAACCAGGTTCTCATTGGCTTTATTGGGTTTCTGAAGCTCTGCATGGCTGATGTGGCCTCTCCCAAAGTCCTTATCAGCTGCAATAAAGAGGAATTAAAAGGAAGCAGAGCAGTCAGCCCGGAGGGCAAAACTGGCATTAGGAAGCAATAGTGGAGGAGGGCTCTGTGCTCCGCTCCAGCAGTGCTCCTGAACGGCTCTGCCTTGTGGTGATGGGTGTCTGTGGGTGCCACGGCTGCCCCAGGGGAACCAGCACCTCCTGGGAGAGCAGGGATCGCGGGAAGCCAGGATTCGGCTTGGATATTGAATGCAAGCAGCAGCCCTGCTCTCACACAGTGTCACCATGAGCTTTGCTGCTTGGGAGCTGCCTAGGAAAGAGAGCGGCCCTGGAGCAGCTGGGATGGTGCAGGAGCAGCTGGGACATCCCTGCTTGGCCCACCTTGCCCCAGCTTGAGCACGGAGCTCTCCCTGCTGTGTCCCTCTCCTGTCTCGCTCGCAGACACCCAGGGAGCACGAGAGGAAGCGGACGGCAGAGCTGCAGCATTTGATGGGTGATGGAGGAGTTTAATAAAAGCAGATCTATTTTTTCAATTACAGTAGGTGGCTACACTTATTATCATTATGACAGATTATTGGAGAGCGATTTGGTAGTGGCAGAAGAGGCAGAAGGAAGATCGATTATGTTTTAATCAGCTCCCTGACCCTGTCCCTGGGTAATTCTCACCCAGAATTACTGACAAGATGAATTTCCCCCTGTATACACAGTCAGGGCTTGCATGGTTATGGCCTGCTCTCTCCAGCCCTCCCTTTTTCCTCAGCACGTAACAACTTCTATGTGAACCATCCTGGTGAGCACCAGGTAGAGACTTTGGCTGCAGAGTGTTCACCTGTATGTGTGCATTTGCAGATTGCTCTGACTTATAGGTTCTCCCTTAAACTTTGATATCACTCTGTATCAGAACAAAATACTGGAAGCTTTAGCAGTTGGTCCTTAGGGACAAAAGGTTTTCTCCTTCAGGATCACCTGCTTCTGCAAGTCCAAGGAGCTATCCATGACCTCGTTGGCCAAGCTCTGTATGAAAGCATTGCACAAAGGCATCTCCAAGGCTTGGAGAAGCTCCTCTAGCAGGAAAGCAAGACCAATGCAGGCAGTATCTACAAGCCATGCCATGGAAGCGAGGGAAACCATATGCAAAGAAAAACAAACGCGGAGTTATGCAAGGCCGGTGTGGCTGTAGCCGAGACAGTGAGCACTTGCATAACGCTACCTTTGACATTAGCTTCTTGGAGCTCCTTGCATAAGAGCAGAGCAATACACCCTGAGGGGAAAAGCCTTGCGATCTGGCTGTGAGACGTTGTGCTCTTGCTCAACACGGAGCTAGGGACTGCTCCTCGCTGGCCCTGGAGCAGCTCGGTGCCCACAGACCGGTGCACGAAGGCAGGGAGGTCCTTCCCTTTGTCTGGGAGGAGGATGGAACTGCGCTTTGCATGGCCCCAAATCCCACCTTGCCCTTTTATTCTGTCCGATTTTAGAGGTCATTTGTATTACTTGCCCCAGCATCACATTGTAGTTGGTGCTTCCCCCTGAACCAGGCAAACTGGGGACACTCAGAGCTGCAGCTCAACCCCTAGAGAGCAAAACCCATGCAGGAGCTGAGCCGAGCGGCGTCCCCAGCCCGGTTCTGTCGCGTCTGAAAGGCCGCGGGGTGTCTTGCAGGGGACGGCTACTACCTGGCTGTCGGCGGGGCCGTGGCGCAGCACAACTGGTCGCACATCAGCACGGTGCTGCAGGACCTGAAGCTGCAGTGCAGCCTCCTCGACTGCTCCGAGGAGCTGGGCATGCTGAGCCTGCAGGGCCCGCTCAGGTGAGTGCTCTTCTCTCCTCCAGGCTCCCTCCTGTGCTGGGTTTTGGGGATAAAATGCTGGGATCTGGTTGACGCGCAACCTCCTTTCTCCGCAGCCGCACCGTGCTCCAGGACGTGCTCGACACGGATCTCAGCAACGAGGCCTTCCCCTTCTCCACCCACAAGCTGGCCAAGGTGGCGGGATGCACGGTAGGATGGGAACCGGGTCCCCAGAGTTCGTCTTCCCATGGGGCACGCTGTCTCCAGAGGGTTGCTTGACGGGACCGCTGTCACCTTGCGTTTCTTGGACCAGACACCTGCCCCTGGCAAGACGTAGTGCCCATGTGTTCTGGCAAGGGGCAACAGGAGGATGTTCTTTGCTTTTTGGAAGTCTTGGAGTTAGTTTATCCTATTTATAGAAGAAATATATCTTGACATCCCTCCACCACCAAAGTTATTGTCAGAAAGAAGCTTATTTTTCCAGCTCTGCCTACTTTAAGGTGACCAGAGCTGTGAGAAGGGCTGGACCGAGGTTTTGTGGATGCACACAGATGGTTCCCATGACATGAGTGTGAGCCTTTAGCAGCAGCTAGGAGGGTTGTCACGAGCCTGTGTGTGACATCTCAGCTGCAGGAGCTTTGGGCCACCTGCATGTGGCTTTGGGCAGTTTTCCAAGGGCCTCGTGGTGGGTTTTGGTACCTGCTGCCTCCCAGCCGGGTCCTCTCCGAGTCTCGTGGAGGAGCTTGAGGCTGCCTGTGCACTGGGTTCTCCCATGGGCACGTCGGCTCACAGCTCCGTGCCGGGATCGGAGGAATCTGCCCCGCAGATTAGGGACTAACACCGCCGGCAGAGCCTTATCTGACACTCCACATCCTCTCCCATCTCCTCGCGTTAAAAAGGAGGGTGATTAAAAACCGAGGGTGTCTTGCAGTCCCCGAACGGGCTCGGGAGCCGGGGGAGCGACGTTTTTGATCACAGCAGAAGTCTGACAAGCTTAAGCTTTCTGTGCAAGCGCAGATCAGCTGGCATTTGCCGAGGCTTCGCCACTGGCGTCAGCGGTTATGCAAGAGAAGTGCAGAAATGGAAATGCTCGCTGCTAATACCTAGGGCTCCCGAGGCAGGAGAGAGGCTGTTTTGGACAGAATGGTGAAAATCCATCACTATGACCTGGTTGGGCCATCCAGGACAGCGTTGGAATAAACTTTGTCAAAGTTATGCCTAGGGAAAGAGGGTGGCAGTTGGTTGCATTTGCTTTTTTTCTTTTTGTTTCCATGTATGAAGTTGCTGCTTGAGCCAGTTAAAACACCCCAAATAGAAGCGTCTGAACCCAAAGCGTTGCTTTGTCAAAACGGGAACGTTCTGGAGGAACCTGCTGTTGTTAAATGTTGGTATCAGGGAAAAAGATTGAGCAGGCGTTGGACAATGAGCTTTGGTTTGGTTTCCTAGCGATGTTTGCACCATAGTAAGAGTATTTTTTGTTCCATAGCAAAAACACCTCCCTGGGAGAGGGCTTTCCTTGGGTACCTCTGCCTTCCCAAGGGAGACTTGTGACCGCAGCAGTATCAGCACATGTAGGAGGCAAAGATTTCCAGCCTTTTAGCCTGGAAAAAAGGAAAGATTTTCCTTTCTAAAAGACTGGAAAATAAGGAAAGCTTAGGATTTTGGGTCATCTTGCAAAAGTCTCAGTCGTGTTCTGCATGTAGCTGTTCTCCTGGTGCAAGTGAGATGCTGGAAGATGCCGGGATGTCCCACCTGGACACAGAGAGCGGGGTCCTTCCCCCTCCAGTTGTTCAACACCGATTCAGCCGCTGTTGGCCGGGAATCTTCCCCTCAAATGACAGGGAAAGAGCAGCGCACACCTGGAGAGGAGCGTGGTTGGGATGAGACTAATTGGCTGTTAGAAATTGCCCACCGTGCTGCAAATGCCGGCTCCTGCTGCCGGGTTCGGAATCCTCCCTGGGCACGCACATCTGTGACAAGGAGATAACATCTATTAATAACCTACTTATCCCCCGCAAAAGGTATGGGAGCGCTGCCTTCTTCAAGAGCACGATTATTTCATTTGCATTTCACTTCAAGTTTATTAAAATAGTAATAATAATAATAATAATAAAGAGATATGGTTTATTTTAAGTGTAAATGCCCAGGCTGTCAGAGTAAAGCTCTCTGGCCTTTCCACACTGAATTGCAAATGCCCAAGTTGAGACTGAGAGGAAAATTAAGGTGAATTTGGGGGTGTTTTTGGTAAGATGGGCCATTTTATTCCAACATAAAGCAAAAAACGAATGTGTTTAAATGAAACAGATCCCAGAGGTGCAAAGTATAGGAAGAAGTGAGCTCTTCTACAGAACTTTATTGTATTATTTCATAGGACTTAATTCAAACTGCCCCCCTGCTTTCCTCAGAGTTACCTTGGGTCTGCATGGAGGAGAATTTTTCAGTTGGTTCCTTTCACTCTTTCTGCAATTTTAATACTGTGCAAATGCTGTCTGGAAGGATTAGAGGTTCTCCATGTGCAGGGTCTTCCCCTCGTGCTCCAGACCAAGCAGAGGCTGGGAGAGGGGCCAGATGGGAAGCCGGGCTTAGTTGGTTCCCCACACCTGGTCTTGTGTCCAAACCATGCTTGTTTTCCAGTTGGTGGCCAAGATCTTAGCAGGAAAACTTTGGGAGATGAACAGCACCAGAGCTGGCCTGTGGGGAGGACATAGGGTGCTGGAAAGTGCGTGTGTGTGCAGGGAAGAAGGGGGATAAATAGGAAGTGCAGGCGTGTCGGAGCATGGAGCATTTCTGCTCCCACCAGCCCACATGTGTCCTCGCCCCGCAGGGAAAACCCAGCTGCTTTAGCATCTGCAAAGCTCTGCTTTTGTCAAAACCAAACCCCTTCTTGGTTAATCACTTAGGAGGGGAACTTTCCCTTGCCTGAGCAGCCCAAAAACACGGTGGGAAAAGGAAAAAGTCGCTCCTGTCATTGCAGGAGCACGTGGGGCTGACCAGAGCAGCCGAGTTCCTCAGGCTGCTGCCATCCTGATGTTATCCCAATACCTTTCCCTGGGATTAAGCTGAAGGCAGCATCTTTAAAAAGCAAGCGCTCGGTTTTCATGTATTAACTCAGTAGCTGAACAAAATCAGCTAATGTAAAAGGAGAATTCCAGCCGAGTTAATGACTCTGGGAACTGCTGGTTGGTTTGTGAGTTTATATATAGCATATCACTGTGTGTGAAGTGCCAGAGAAAGAAACCCATTCGAATCTCGCTGCTGGATACAGGGTAAAGTTCAGATTTTCATTTTCTAATATACTTAAAATGCTTTTGAATAGCTGCTCAAAGGCTCAGGAACTGATGCTGTTTTATAACTCTACTTGAAATCTAATGGAAAAACCTGTTCCTTAAAAGAATTTGGCTCTGGGTGGCCAAAACCTGGCAGGAATGGCTGAGTTGGCACCATCCTGGCTTTGCCAGCCCTTTCCCATGGGATTGACAGCAGAGATTGGGCTGTGCACACCTGGATGCAACCCCTGATCCCTGCAGAAAGTTATGTACAGTCTTTACGTGCGTTTTCAGAGGGTATACATGGTATGTGATGCACTGATCTGCCTCATCATGACTACTGGGTGTTGGGGCCTCTGAGTGGCCATAATTTGAGGGGAAACTTCTCTTGTTCTTGTTGCCATTGCAAGCAAGACACCCCAAAGCGACCCACTCAGCATGGATAGCAAGGCAGAGCACTGGGTGTTTCAGGCTCATCCTGGAGCTACGTGGTCTCTTCCTGTCTGGAAACCACTTTTTGAAGAGCATGGACCACAATCTTGCATAGAACTAGGGGCTGGAAGGACACACACAGATGGTGCGTCAGATTTAGGGGAATGGCAAATGGCACGCGGAGAGGATAAGTCGATTCTCCTCCTTGCTGTTAATTAGAAGAGGGTAGGAAATGTTCTTTATTGTTCTTATTTATTAAACCAGATGATTTCTAGAGGTCCCTTCCAACCTCAGCCATTCTGTGGATCTGTGAAATGTTCTGACACATTTTCCTGGCAGAGACAGGCAGGCTTCAGGATTTGGGCATTCATTAAGGGCTAGGGTTGCTTTTGAAGGCTCTCTCGGTCCCAGAAAGGCTTCCCAGAGCCCTAGGGGCTACTTGTCCCGGGAGATGCAGGTGACCAACACCAGGACAGGCTGGAGAGCTGCTCCTGGCCGCACCACGTGAATATTTCATCCCCATAATCTAGATTAGCTCCGTGCATCGCCTTAAGCGACAGTCCTTGGCGCCGGCTCGGCCGAGCGCCGGTGACAGCTTCGTGTGGGGCTGCCACGGCGCTCGTGCTGCCATGTAGGCTGCTTCCCGGGGACTCAAGGCTCCGCGCAGGCCAACAAGTCCAAAGTCCCAATCGGTGGGAGCTGCTTGTGTCTCTGGGACCTGAATTTGCAGCTGGCCCCCGGTGCCCCCCTGCTGCTCCTTGGGGAGGGATGGATCCCCTGGCTCCGCTGGGGAGACACGTTTTGCTGATGCCCTGAGGGCCCCTGCAGAGTTTCATGCCCCTTCATTGCTTATTAATACACGGTCTGGCACGTGAGCACTGATCACATCAACATCCCCAGGGCGCTGCTCTGAATCAGCGTGCACCAGGACTCGCCGGACCATCGATAACCATTTTGTGCAAGGATTTCCTTGGGTACAAAGTCTCTCTGGGCTTTCCCCTCCCACCCAGGGTGTCTCAGCTCTGGGTAGTGCCTTTTGGTGCAAAATCTCTTCTTTTCTCGAGCTTTTGCACCTCCTCTCCCGTGATGCTGCGTGACCCTGCCCTGTCCCCCTGACTCCACAGTTAGCCTAGGATGCTTTTTGCGCAGGGCTACACCATGGGCAAGAACTACTCTGAAGCTGGAGGGCGGCCAGGGGCTCTTAGTGCCATTAAAGATTAAGGAGACTTTGGGAAAAGGGTTTTTTTTTTAATGGATTTTTTTGTTTTGCTTTGTTTTGGTTTGGCTTTTTTTTTTTTTTTTTTTTTTTTTTTTTTTTTTTTTTTTTTTTTTTTTTTTTTTGAGGGTGCTGCTTTGGTTTGTGGCAAATCCAGACACCAGTTCATCCAAGACATGGAACTTCCAGCCTGTTGTGCCTGCATCCCATGCCCCGGGATTGGTGCTTGGGGGATGGATCCTCCCCACTTCCTACCAGGAGCGGTTCTAGAGGGTTCCTGGGCACTCGGAGCTCCTGATCCCTGGTCCCTGTGTCCCTGTGAGCAGGTGCTCGGGAATCAGCCCCATCCACACAACCAGGGTGGCAAAGCAGCTCCTGGAGGTGACAAGGGGATGGGTGTGTTGGCCACCAGAAGCCCTGCAGAGACACGTGCAGCTCTGCCAGGCACCAAAACCCGGAGCTGGGGAATTTGATGGGATGCAGATGGTCCCAGTCCCTGCTCCGGGTCCTGCCCCTGGGCAGCAGGGCACAACGGGACACAAGGCAGGAGCTGGCGGGCAGGACAGGCGGAGCTGCTGGAGCAGGGCCATGGGCTCGTCCTTGTCCTCCCTGATGCAGGTAGGTGTATGCTGCATCCATGGGGACATCCACAGGGACACGCCGAGGAGCAGAGCGTGAGGGCCGCTCTGGAGGCAACATCCTCCGGGAGCCAGGCATGTCCCTGCGTCCTCCCCTGCAGCAACAGCCCAAAGCCAAAGGGACAAACCGGAGAGAAATGCGGGAAATGCGGCTGAGCCCCCAGGGATGGCTGCAGGGAAGGTGTCCGGGACGGTTTGACCCCACTTGGGGTGGGGACAATGGGATGGTGCCGCTCTCTGCGCTCCTGGGAACGTGGGGAGTCCGGTGGGATGTGGGGCAGGGATGGGACTGTGCTTTGCCATGGGAGAGCATTCCCAGCGCTGTTGGGACACCGCGGGACACACAGCTCTGCTCCAGCCCGGGAGCAGATTTCCCTCCGGTTCCTGCTCCCAGGGAACGCAGGCAGACGGGCAGGAGATCTCCAAGGAAATCGCCTCCCCCGAGAAACGGGGCACCCACTGCTCAGAGCTGCTGGTTCCTCTGCAGCACCTTCAGCACTGTCTCGTCTCGCTGCTTCGGTGGCAGCGAGCAGCGTTTTGCGGGGGAGTTTCAGTGAGCGCAAATCTGTGCGTCCCCATTGCCCGACTGGCCAGGACGCGGGGCTGAGCATCCCGCAGGAGCCCCTGCATGGGGACACCTTCAGTTCTGCTTGCAACCCAACCAGCCTGGCCCCAAAATGCCCCCCTTGGTGGGGACTGATTCACCAACCTCCTCCTGCACGTTTGGGTGCTCATAGGGTTTTTTTCTGCCATAGCCAAATCAGCAGAGGGAGACAGAGGCCCGGCTGGATGGGGCAGCACGGCGGGAACTGTGTCACCTGCAGCTCCACAGCTGCAGAAATGCTTAATGCCCAGGAGAAAAGGCTCTACCTGCTGCTTTTCCCTTGGGGATGCTGAGAAAAGCAGGAGCTGGAGGGGCGCAGAGCTGTGTCCGGGCTCGCGCTTGATCCTTTCCCTCTTATTTGTGATATTGAGGTGCAAGCCGGAGATGGTAAAGTTCAATGCGGATTGGGAATTGCGCACCGTGAGGAGCAAAGAAAACAGAGAGAAGGCATTTCCCAGAACTCAGGCTGCTGCACGAAGGTCTCCTGCAGCCTGCTTGCTCCTGGCCACGCTCGTAGCCTTACCAGCCTCCCCGCCAGGCCACACAGCCTCCGTCCCGAGTGAGGCCCTTGCATTTTGTCCCTTGTGTTTCGCAGGTCCGTGCCATGAGGCTGTCGTTCGTGGGCGAGATGGGCTGGGAGCTGCACGTGCCCAGGGCGGACTGCGTGAGGGTCTACCAGGCGGTGATGAAGGCGGGCGCCCGGCACGGCATCGCCAACGCTGGCTACCGAGCCATCGACAGCCTCAGCATCGAGAAAGGTTCCCGGCTTTCCTGCTTTGTTGGCTTTGCCTCCAGCCAGGGGATCCTGGGTGGTTTTTCCCGCCCCAGTTTTGAGGATAATGTGGTGGGATTGGCAGGGTGTCCAACAGCTGGTGGCAGAAATGCAGCTAGTGCCCCATGCTCCTTGCTGAGACCAGTCTGAATATGGGTTTCCCTTGAGGGCACTTTGTCCTGGACCAAGGGAATGGAGGGCCACAGGGGTACCCCACAGGCAGAGTTGATGTCTCGCTCTGTTGATCAGAGAGCTGCGGAGAGGGGACAGGCAGGGACAGCCGCGTTCACCCCGTGTCCTCCGCAGGGTACAGGCACTGGCACGCAGACCTGCGCCCCGATGACACCCCCCTCGAAGCGGGCCTGGCCTTCACCTGCAAGCTCAAGTCGGACATTCCCTTCCTGGGACGCGAGGCCGTGGAGGCTCAGAAGGCTGCCGGCCTCACCCGCCGCCTCGTCTGCTTCACCACCGATGAGTGAGTATCGCTGCCCCGCGCTCCGTCAGCCCCGGCGCTGTCACACAGCCGTGTTTGTCACCCGTGTCCAAGCAGGGATGAGCACCCAGGCACCCAGACCTGCCTGGGAGCGGCTCCCCCTGCACCTCCCGTGCGCAGGCGCGGGGAGCAAGCGCTTGCTGCCATTTTCCATGCTCTAATTATGTCTGTAATTTAAATCCCACCTCATATTCCCTGCCGGATATTTAATGGGAGTTGGAAACAATGTGACAGTGAGTAGGTTTATCTCGTTTCAGCCAAAATAGCAGGAGGCTTTGCAAAGCCGGCTGCAGGGAAATGTCAGTGCTGGGGATCAGCATGGAGAAGTTCAGGAGTGTGAGGGCAGCGGGGCAGTGCCCAGGATGAGCCTGTGCCCTGAGGGTGGCCCATGCCCAAGCTGGCCCTGGGACACACCAGGAGGCAGCGCTTTGGGTACCAGCCTGGAATCCAGTGTCCATCTTCTCCAAAGCCTTTCTTTCTTGGACAATCCCGGCCCACCCAGGGCTTTCCTGACGGCTGCTCCGCTCTGGCCTTGCAGGAAGGTGCCCATGTTCGGCCTGGAGGCCGTGTGGCGGGACGGCCAGGTGGTCGGCCACATCCGCCGGGCGGATTTCGGGTTCGCCATCAACAAGACCATCGCATACGGCTACATCCGTGACCCCGCCGGGGGGGCGGTGAGTATAGAGACCACAGTGGGCAGCGACACGAGCCCCACGGGGTCAGGAAAGGGCTCGGCAGCCGCCCTGGTGCTCGGAGCATCCCTGGGATCTTTGGGAGCAAGGAGAAAGTGGGGCTGGATGAAGATAAGGTCCATGCTGGCGTATGCAGGAAGGTGACACCCAAAAAGCCCAATCCACCAGTAGGGAAGAACAGCAGTGAAGGCAGCAGGCACTGCACGAGCCCATGGGGAAGCCGCACGTCCTTCCCCCTCCTGAAATTTTGCAAGGGGAGGAAGCACAGGATTTATTTTGAAAGCCATATGCCCGAGCACATTGCGGGAGCCCCGTCAGCTGGGGAGCGAGACGGGGCAGCCCCCCAGCTCTCCCCGCACGGCGCTAACCCGGCGGAGCGCGACGCCGAGCGCGAGCAACGGCGGCTCCTCGGCAGCGTCGTTCTCAGCTGCCATCTCCGAGCTGTCATCTTGTGCAGCCCCAGCGCTCATCGGCAGCCCAACTGCGATCCCCGGTGTTAACGGCATCCGAGTGTTTAATTGCCAAAGTGAATTAACCGCTGCTACGGGGAGCAACTGCCCAATAGGAGCCTGGCAGGCTCTTAATTAACCCCGCGAGGAACCTAGGTAGTAAATCAGATGCCCTCGTTAATGAACGTGCTGCAGGCTCGGAGGCTGGGGATCCTGTGTGGGGATGGAGGGCAGGGGATGACATCCCTTGGGACTGCTCTTGTCGCAGGCCATGGATAGTGCATATGCTTGGGCTTTAATCCGCCTGCTCGCCTTGACTTTTAATCCTGTGTCGGGGATTAATCTGTAATTAACCACCAAGAGCTTTCCATCTATGGCCCCTCGTGTCCCCATCTCCTTCTGCCTGCGCTGGCATTTCCCAAAGTGATGGGCACCACCTCCATGGGAGGCTGTTTGCTCGGCTGTCACACGCAGGGAAGAAAGAGGGTGGGAAAACAGCCATAAAACCTCACTTGGAGCTTGTCCTCCCAAAGTGTTTGATATCCCACATCTCGGGCTGCACCGTGGGAGCCAGGAGGCAGCTCGGGATGCTGCTGTAGGGGGGAGCAGCACTGGGAGGCTGCTGGCCCAACCCCATGGAGCAGAATGGGCAACGTGGCAAAGCCAGGGCTCTGTGGCCATGCTCTGCAATCCATGGATTTTCCTGCCCTGGATGCACCTCATCCAGGCTCTCCGGGGCCGGGAGAGGTGAGGACAGCTCCGTAGCATCGTGGCTAAGGAGCAGGAGCAGCAGCAATGCCCAAGGGCCAGGAGGAGACGACGTGGGTAAGGAGAGGAAGCTGCAGCTCTGCTGCTGGCAGCCTGCAGCTGCCACAACACACAGCTCTGTCCCCACGGGCTCTGTGTGACCGAGTGGAGACACCAGGGGACCGGCTCCCTGCAGGGAGCTGTTCCCCGAGCGCGGCCGCCTGCTGTAGCTCCTCCACTGCTGCTTTTCAGGGCACCACACTGCATTCTGCTGAAAGCATCCAGAGCAAATGCCTCCCCTAACATTTAATCACCGTGTCTGGGCATTTTTTAGCTTGGTGCTTTTAAAAATCTCTCTTCCACCTCACTGTGCATCCTCCCGGGATGGCAGAACCAGGTCTTGCGCGCAAAGCGCATCCGCACAAGGTGCCGCGGGAGCTGCCCGTGGGCTCCCCATCCATCCCGTGGGCTCCCCGTCCATCCCGTGGGCTCCCCATCCATCCCACAGGCTCCTCGGGAAGCAGCCCTGGGGGGCAGCGCGGGGTGCCCCCGCGGTGCCCGCAGCTTTGTGGCTCTGTCCTGCAGGTCTCGCTGGACTTCGTGAAGAGCGGCAGTTACGAGCTGGAGCGCATGGGAGTCACGTACCCGGCCCGCGCACACACCAAGTCCCCCTTCGACCCGGACAACAAGCGCGTGAGGGGCATTTACTGAGCGGCAGGGCCGCAGCCGTGGGCGATGTGGTGCTGCCAGCGGGGGCAAGGGGAGAGGGAAAATGTCCAGGGAAGCGGGCTGTGGAATTCCCAGGTCCCTGAGTATCCCAGGAGGTTTCCGGGATGCTGGGGAACGGGGCGAAGCTGCAGCCTGCAGTGAGCGCCTGAGCAAATTTGGGTCAAATTAAAGGGGAAGAAGGAAAAGAGATTCCGGAAAGGCTGAGGATTCTGTTTCTGTGCTTCCTAAATGAGGCTGGGTCACTCTGGCGATAATTCTTTTCCATGGTGGACCTTAAAGCCATGTTTCCCTTGGCTGTAAAAGAAATGTTTTCAATTTTTTCCTTTCCTGAAACCCTTTCCCCTCACTCGGATGGAGTTCGGTGTTTGGAACTATGAAATGTAGCTGCCTGCAAATGGATTTTTTAATTACCTTCCTGCTCTTAATACAGCTGTAACCTCCAACCCTGCTCTGCCCCCGGGCCCTCTCTGTGTGTCCGTCCTGCTGCGACGGGGACAGTGTCCTCAGGGCTCTGCTGGCGCGTGGAGCTTACAGGAAACATTAAAAAAAAAAAAAAAAAAAAAGAAAAAGAAAAAACTAAAACAACCAATGTGGGAGGATCGTGGCCGTCCTGCCTCTTCCTCCTCGGGATGAAGGAGCGGGTGCTGGCACCGGGTGAACAGAGCACAGGGATTAGGCGCGCGCTGGCTGAGATAATGTGGCTTTAGTTCCCCAAAGCAGCTGGCAGCTTCGGGCTCAGCCCTGCTGGGAAGGGCCCGTGTTCCCTATGGAAAGCACATGTGGAGGACTGGGGGAAAGCAGGATGGCGCAGCTGGGGGGCGGCCGCCTGTGCTGGGTGGTGGAGGGAGGTTTTTCCTGAAATTGTGGCTTTTCTGTGAATTTGCAAATTGTGAATTTGCCCCCTTTCCGGCGGCTGGGAGCAGGGACAGGACACAGTGAGGGTCCCAGGTCTCCTGCACCCCCCGGCTTTACCCCTGAGTCCCAGAGCTCTTTTCCCTTGGGAGCTCAACAGCAAAACACTTTCATCCCGTTTTATTTTTACATTTAGCCATTTCAGAGAGTCGTGATTCCTGTCAAAAGGTTTGTCTCCAGCCGCATCCCTCCCCCCTCTCCAAATCCCATCAGGGAGGTATCACTCATCCCCGTCCCTTGGCATCTGGTCGCATTAAGACGGATAATCCCAGCTCGGTGGCAGGGGGGCTGCGGTCTCGGCTAAGTGGGGCGAACGCATCGTGGGCATGAGCTGCTCGCCGCCCCGTGCCTCAGTTTCCCCACACGTTTCGGGTGTCCATCCGGGGGGCACCAGATTGAACCTCCGCATTGTCCTTGGGGGTGGCGAGCAGCTCCCCAGGGCTCATGATCTCCGAGTCACGAGCCTTGGCACCCATGGGTGCCCATGGGCTGCTCTCACTGCCCCCTGCCCAGGTGCAGGGCCACAGGGGCCGGGGGCCGGGCGGCCGGCGCGGGCGGGCAGCGCGGCGCCGCATCCCGCAGCTCCGTCACCTCGGGAAGCGGCTGCTTCTCCCATTCGCCCTGCAAGAGAGGAGGTGCCGGTGAGCGCCCTGCTCGCCCGCGAGCTTCGCTCCCAGCCGCCCCACGCTCTGCTGTGAATCCCAGCACCCCCAAAAATCGCTACTCTGGATGCAGCCAGTGGCTCTGGGGCGGCTGCTCCGCTCGGAGATGGATTCAGCTCCAGCCTGCGCAGGAGGAGGGAGATCTGGAGCCGAGTGGTGACTCATCATCATCAGCAGCAGAGAAGTCGCATTTCTGTTTTCCGAGGAAATTCCTTGTAGTTTGTGAAGCAAAATAGGCTGGCGAGAGCCAGTGCTAGGAAAGGCTGCGAAGATGGAGGCGCCTTCCCGGAGAGCCCAGGGGCAATGGGAATGCTCCAGATCTCGCCGACCCTGCTGCCATGTGCCCCTCACCTGGGCTCTGATGTCCACAATTATCCTGGCTACGTTGCAGCGCAGGATGGAGAAGGTTTGGGAATAAAAGGTGCAATGGCACTCTGCCGGCTGCAGCCCGGGAGGCTCCGTGCAGGCAGAGGTGCTTCCCACACGGAGCAATCCCAGCACAGCAGCTCTCCCGGGGCCTCTTCCTGCACCCACGAAAGCATGAGCAAGGCAGAGCTCCTCCGGAAACCCCATGGGGATTGGGATTGACTAATTGGGAGCCGTTCTCTTGGGCTCTCTGTGCCCCTAGTGCAGTGGACCACAGGCTGGGAGGGCTTCAGCCTGCACCAGAGCCCACGTTGCTCCAAAAGGAGCTTCACCGGGAGTGAAAGCTGAGGGTCTTCCTCAAGATGGGCTTGGGGTCCTCCTGGCACTGCGGAGCCTAGAAATAACCATGCGAGCCGCAATGGACCTGACAGAGATGAGGGCCATCGGTTGTTTTAAATCGTCATCATCATCATCGTGATCAGCACTGTGCTGGGTTCTTCCCTAAAGATCCCGTGGCACTTTTGCCTCCTGATTTTGCTCCGTGCTTGGAGCTTGCACGGATGCTGCGAGTAACGAGCCTGCTCTACTGGGACCTGATACAACTTGCCAAAATCTCCCCAAATCACCGTGTGTTTATCCTTCTCGTGAAGACATCGCAGGTTTAAAGCTCCGGCCTGCTCTGAGAAATAAGGCTCGAAATTGCTTTATGCAAATGTGGTTCGTCTAAGTGAATCTGGCAGAGTTTGGGGACGGCGTGCGTGTGGCGGGGGCCTGTCTGGGTAAATGCCAGCCCCGTGATGGGCTCTACCATCTTGCTCACACTGTAGCTCCCCAAGAGAGCTCAAAACTCCCTGAATCCTTCCCCATCTTGCAGCATGGCGTGAGGTGCAGGTCTGCCAAGCTGTTTTTTCCCCGTTGCCTTGCAAAACGTGCGAGACTTTTTGCTTTCGGGGATGCACGTACCGGGAAGCGCACGGCGGAGGATTTATTGCAGTGCACCGAGATGGGCGCGAAGCCGTAGAGCGATCGCAGCACGTCCCTGTTGAACGCGTTCCAAGGCACAGAGGCAAACTGCTGCGGCACGGAGACCCGCGGGCACGTGCAGACCTCCTCGTCGTTGAACCTGGGTGGGAAACCCAGAGAAACGGGAGGCACCAGGAGAAGCAGCGACCAGGTCAGCCCCGGTGCCGCTCCCTCCCCGCGCAGGGACTCACTACCTGTTGACGAGGTTGAAGTATCGGCGCAGGTAGCCGGGGTCCACGGCGCTTTTGCACAGCTCCAGCTGCGTCTGGGGGTAGTAGTGCACGTAGTTGACGCACATCTCCTCCATGATGCCAAAACCACCCTGCCGAGAGAGGCACACGTGCCATGGGCACTGCCAGGATGTCACCATCTCGCTCTGGCACGTGCCCTACAAGCAACACCAACGGGGCTGCAATGATGCACCCTTGGGTGCAAGAGATCAGTAGCTACTTAGACAGCCATGCAAGGGCAGACATTGGGGCTAGCTAGCACAGTTTATGTTAAAATGCACATTTTCTATAATCCCTCTGCTATATTTAGCTTTGTCTCCGATGATGGTACCTCTGACAGCGTCTCTCTCTCGCTGCCTATGTAAGAAAATAACATGCACTGTCAAAGGAAAAGAAAAAAGCCACATCTCTTTAATTACAGTTAATACCCGGTGGAAGAGCCTGTGGTGGGGATTAGAGTGACACACGCTCCTTTTCAATTAGCACCTTCGCATCCCAGCTGCGGGCGGACGAGCCGCGTGGCGTCGCCGCTGCCGCCCTCGCGCTGCTTTTATGGCTCCGTTTTGGGCAGGATTTGTGCACCGTTTAGACCTGGGCTCTGAACCATCTCCCAAGCGGCTCCCGGCCGTCCGGCTCGGCACTGCGGATGCTCAAACCGGAGGATGGGCGCCAGGGAGCTCGTGCCCTCACTCACCACCGTTGCGCGGCTCCTGTCCTGCGTGTTGTAGGTGCAGGTCGTGATGAGCTCGTCGCCCTGCGGGTTCAAACACAACACGTCGCCCTCTTGCACAGCGAAGTTTTCCATCTCCGCTCCGTGCATTTTGGGGTTGGCAAAATCGTCATGGCCAGCAGGCAGCCCGGGATGGAAAGGGAGGCTCCTGCATGGACACAGCTCCAGGCTCCTTCAAATCTCCTCCCCAGGAACCTCTCTGATAGTGGCAGCAGGAGCCTGCGTAGATGCTGGGCTAAAAGCTACAGCTCAAACAGGACTAAACTTAGCTACAGGGACAGTTTAGTTGCCCAGATGCCAGCGAGACACAGGCCCTGGCACAGCCAGGACATCCACACGGAGGTGGCAGATCCCATCCGGAGCCCCACACGCTCCCGCGAGCCCTGGGACTGATGCTGCTTGGAGCGTCCTCCCCAACAAGCAGAGCAGGAACCGCAGCTCCAAGGGCCACGCTGGCCCTGAGCCCGACTCGGGGCAACCTCTTGGTCTACTTCGGAAGCCACCGCGGGTCTCAGAGCCACTCACGGGCAAAACAGGAACCAGCTCCTTCAGCATGCGGATCTCCTGGAGCACAAGGAAGGCGGGTTAGAGCAGAGCTGGGACCCGGAGCACCCGGGGGGCGCGGGGCAGCCGTACCTGGAAGTGGGGGCTGTAGTGCGTGTCGGCGTTGAGGACGCGCCGCGCTCTGCCCTCCCGCGCCAGCACCGTCACCACCCTCCTCCCGGCCAGGTGCGTGTGGAGCTGCGAGGCGAAGACGCGGATGCCGGCGGGCGGCAGCGCCTGCAGGAGAGCGGGGCTGGAGCGTCTGCACCCGGCCGTGTCCCTGTGCCCGCCCCGCGGCCCCTCGCCTCTCTTGGAAATCGAGGGGAGTGTTTGTGTTGGCAGAGGGGAGAAGGGGGTCTTGCTATGGAGAGCAGCGGTAAGTTTTCCTAGATGGGGAATGGGATTCCCGGGAGCGGCAGCAGATGGATGCCAAGGAGAACGGCCTTCCAGGGGAATTCTGCATGTCCCACATGTCTGGGTAATGCTGCTTGGTGTTTGAGCACAAGGTTTTTCTTTCCAGCATAAGTCCAAGGTCCCTGTATTGGTACGGCTGGAAGAGTTTCAGGGAGCTGAAAACCGGGAATTTGGAGCTCTGTGCTCCGTGTGTATCCCCCTTGCCTGGGACCCAGGAGAAAGCACCCCAAACTCTTCTGCTCCTATGCAACAGCAGTGCAGGAAGGATGCGCTCCATGGAAAGGCACCATGGAGACACTGCTCCAAGCAGCCCCAATGTACCGGGCTCGTGCACCACCTCCTGCACCTGCTGGAGGTCCCAGTTGTCCCCGGTGCCACCCGTCCCCGTGCACTCACCAGCCGGGTGCACTTGTCGGTGCAGTAGCCGCTCAGCTGGAACTCGGCTTCTCCCGGTGGAATGGCCATCACGGGCGTGTAGACCAAGCCCAGCTCCAGGATGCCGGCGTCGTAGCGGCGCAGCCTGGCCGTGTAGTAGAGACGGATGCCCGAGGAATCACGGCGGCCTGGCGGGAGAGAAGATGGGGCTGCAAATCACAGCGGGAGAAACAACTGCCCAGGGAGCAGGTGGAGGCGGAATATTAGGGTGGGAGACATTTGCCATCCTATTCCAGTGGTTTTAAAATCCTCGTTCCCTCGGAAGAGCACCAGCCTAAGGCCAATGGTTCCCAAGGGAGAGGGCAGGCTCGGTAGATCAGGAGGGGCTCGAGCTGCTGTGAACTCCCGTCTCTGCCAAGCAAAGGATGAGAATAACAGGGGAGACACTGTTGGTTAACGTGCAGAAGCAGATAAATTATGAAAGACCTGAGCTCCGTATTTATAGACGTGTTTCTTCTCGAGTTGCCGAATGTGCTATGATTGATCTTCAGTACATATGCTCTGGTCTCCTAAAATATACTTTAGTAGTCAAGAAGTTACTTGCTTTTATGTAAATGAAGAAACTGGGTTGTTTGGCATCCTTGTTTTTACTTTTTTTTTTTCCTAATGTGTCTCCTGCCAATGCTATCAAAGCAGCAATATCATTAAAACAATATCTAAATCCCTCCATCCCTGGCGAGGCTGCTGCTGCCTCCCTGGTGGTTTTGGTCCCAATGTTGCTTTGAGCTCAGATTCACCACCGCCTCGCACTGCAAGGCCCTCACCACCTCCCTACCCCCCAAAAAAAGCTCCAGTTCAGGTTCTTTTCTAAGATTAGTGTTTTATTTGCTTAGGAACTCCCACAGGTTGTGTTTGAAAGACGGCAGGAGGCTTCAGCACCGTGTTCCCCACTCACCTTTGAACACCAGGGGATTGTGGTAATGAATCTCGAGACGCAAATATCTGGAGGAGCCTGGACCACCAAAGGCAAGACCGGCTTCTTCGGGGTAGTAGAAGGCCTGGAGGTGGAAGGGGGAGATTAGGGGAGCTGGTTTTCCGGGAGGAGGATGGAGGGAAGTCTCTGGGTATTTAGGCTGGAGGGGACACGGCTTGTCCCCTCCGTGGTGTGGTGATGGTGAGCTGGCCTTGCTGCTCTTCAGAGAGCTTCCCGGCTGCCCTGCGTGGGCAGGTGGTGCCAAATCAACCGATATGCAGGATCTGCAGCAATTTGTGGAGATGAGTGGCAGGCCAGGGAAATTCAGACATAGCCGGGATGAGCCCAGATCCCATCGGAAACCGGGCTTGGAGCAGCCCCCACAGGTAGAGCTCAACCTGGTGGCTTCTCCCGCAGGCAGGGGACAGGGGAGGACCCGGTGGCCAAGGGGGCCCCGTCCTGCACCCACCTGCGCTCCCATGGCCCACGCCGCCAGCACGTGCCTGCAGACGTTCAGCTGCGCCGGCTTCATCTTGGCGTCACAGGGCCCGTTGTAGCCGGGCACGCTGCCCTGCTCCGCCGCGCACTGGAACACTTCCATGTGGTGCACCAGCGCCTCGTTGCCCGCCGTGATCACCGGCTCGTACTGCGAGGGATGTGGAGAGAGGCATCAAGGTCCCTCCCCGGGCTCCGGGCTCCAGCAGACCCTTCCCTGCTCTGTCTATGGGACCGACTCCGGACATGCCGGAGCGGTGGAGTTGGTGACGAGCGCGTCCTTCACTCATTTTGCTGGGCTGAGGTGGCCTCGAGGACACCTTGGGTCTTGGACATGAATCTCATCCCTCGCAGGCAGCTTCTGGGTGCCCGGGGATGGATTTGGGTGCCTGGGGGTGCCCGGGGATGGATTTGGTGCAGGAAGAGCCATCTCCAACCCGCTGGAGAGACGGTCCCGGCTCCAAGCGCCAGCTGCAGCCCAGCCCCGCGGCAGTGGGGAGGCCGCCGGAGTTACGCGCTCCTCGCTTACACCCAGATGATTCATTTCACACCATCTGTTGGGGAGAAAATCCTCCCTCCGTGTTTTCCTTTGCAGCGTCTCTCCCTTTGCAAGCACTGAGCCTCCCTCTCGGTTCCCCATGCAGGTTTTCCCACTCCCCCTGGTGCAATTTGGGCTCTGGCTCTGCCAGGCACCTGCGGCTCCATCCCGACTCTCTGGGCCATGGACCTGGTGGCCCTTCGGGCACCCCAAGCTCCCTCCCCAGCTCGCCCTCGAAGGCAGTGCAAGCTCTGCGCTAGGGAAAACACTCGTTCTGCACCTCTTACCATGACGATGTGATGTTTGGGGAACTTTTCCGGCAACTCTACCATGTAGCACCAGTAGGTCGTCTCCTGGCTGGGAATGACGACGTCGGGGGCCGTTATTGCCATGCTCTGCATGTCGCTGGGCAGCTCCGGGACGCTGATGTTGGGTTTGAGCAGCTGCACCCGCTGCAGCCCCGTGGGGATGGCCGAGGTGTTGATGGCCTGCAGGGAATGCACCGGCTGCTCCAGGATCCCGTAGATGAGGTGCACGGTGCCGTCCTGAAGCAAGAGCAAAGTGCGCCAGGTAATTTGCGTTTCGTTTGCGTTTGTTTCTCTCTAGCATTTGCAGGTTGAACTGCGTGGATGCCTGGAGCCCATATTGCAGGTATGTGTCCATGTATGGACCCTGCTCCTCTCCAGGTAAGAGACCACCCTGAATTCACCATGAGAAGAAGCCAAGGCCACCCTGAGCTCACCATGAGCAGCAGCCAAGGGAGGAACAGGAGAAATCGTGAAATCCTCCCCTCCTTCCCATCCTCTGTTAGAGGGACAAGGCAGGAAGGTGCGATGAAAGATTACTGAGAGCTTAGGAAGGGTCGTGCTGCATTCAAGGGGGAATGGAGAATGGAAGGAAGGAAGGAATATTCTCCTAAAGGACTGGACTAAAAGCAGACCTGCAAGTCTGGTCCCAGTTCATAGGGATTCTTTTCCTCCAGGTTTCTCAGTATTTTGGCAGGCAGTAGAAATTTCTCACCGGGAGACATGCTTTTGAAAGCTTGCAACAGAAACTCAAGGGCACTCCAAAGCCTTTTTGCCTTCAAAATATCCTGTCCATCAAAGGCTTTCATCCCAAATGAGCCCAGCGTCCGCGCCTGCTCCTCACCCAGGGCCCCTGGGCAACCCAAGCTCAGCTGAGACCCTGTTGCTCTTTGACATCCGCACTGGGGATCCTTCCCTCTTGCAGTGAAGGCAAAACCAGAGAGATTACATTGAAAAAAAAAGCCTCTCAGGGAGACCTCAGCAGCTCAATTTGCTGTACCTTAGCTCCAGCTCCTGCTAAAATCTTCCTCTTTGCCATCCTGCAAACAACACCTCTTTGTAACACTCCCAACACTTGGCTCCAGCCTGCAGGCTGGAGTGCTGCAGAAGGGTATTTAGATAGACCCAACTCAGACTCAACAGGAGCGGGCGAGTCAAAACAGCTAAAATCCACATTGTGTAGAGGTTTATAATGGGTTTTAAGTAGATTGTGCGAAACATTCCTCATAGCCCAGGAATGCCAGGCTGTAACGTGCTGCCTTTCTGCCCCGAACAGCATGAAACCTGCTGCTCTCTTGGAATTACGGCCCAGGTAATATCATATAATATATTTTATCGTATTGTATAGTGTCGGATCGTGTAGACGCAGGGCTTGGGGTCCTGCTAGGTGTCCCCAGAGCAGCGGTGGGTGGTGGTGGGCGATGCTGTACCTCTATAACGTAGTCCTTGGGGTCGCAGGTGCTGAAGGCTCTTCGGAAGAGCAAGTAGAGCCCCTCGGGGGCCTTGTGTGCCCCGAGAAGCTGGTAGTCCTGCTGGGAATCCATGTGGAGCTGCCCCTCCTCATCGCTCCAGGCATCCTACGGGAGGAAAACCACCATGGTGAGTAGATAACCATGAGGTTTGCTCAGCACGAAGCAGCTCTTGATCAAAGGTTAAACCCTTGATGACCTGTAGTGTTGGCCCAAGAGATGCCTGTCCCCCACTTAAAGCCCTTATTTCACTGTGACCAGACTCTGTTGCTCTTCCCAAAGCAGTTCCCCTACCCAGCAAGGCCTCCAGAAAAGGACTCTTGGTTAATGATGGTGCCAAAGTCTCCTGGAGAAGCAAAGCAGGGGATTAATCCAGTGTTTAAAGAACTGAAAGTCTGGCGCATAAAACCCTGCAGGAATCCGGGGCTCAAAGGGAACAGTGTCACCGTCCTGGTCCTTTTCATCTCCCCTTGATGTCTTTTGTCTACCAAGAAGAAGAGCCGAAGAGCTACCTCGCTGCAACTATAGCAGTGGCATCAATTTGGCATCTCAGGGGAATAAAAAGGGAAGGAAAAGAATAAAGGCTCTTGGCATCATCTCAGCCAGAAGTATGGCGTGATATTTCTAGAACATATTGTCCTTAGAGGGGGAGAGTAAAATCAACTAGATGAAGCTAGCGTGGCATTTGTTTTTATAGGAGTATGTGGTGCAAAATTAATCTTGTAGCACATGGGGGGTTAAGTAAATTTGGATCTTTTTAACAGCTGATGTACTTATCCAGAAGAAAGGCTGCTGAGAGCAAAAAGCCGGGGCTGGAGAGACTTACAGAAATCTCCTTGCAGTATTTAAAAGATGCTGTTGAGCACCCACTGAAAGAGAAAGCCAAAATGTTGCACGCATGCTGTTTAATTCAGCGCTGTTTTTCTCGGGGAGAACACAGGAACACAGATTAGAAATGATCTTTTATGGTTTTTTAACATGACGCTGTGAAATACTGTAGCATTTAGGTCGTCACACATCCTGAATGGCTGGTAATTAGCAGGAAAACAGTACAGATAATAAGCCCTCCTTTTCAGCCTTTCATTATGCTGCAGATCACATTGCGGCTGATGGGGAAAGAATATATTTTATGGTTAATTTCAAGGAAGCGGAGAGGTACAAATTTAACTTACTGGAAAGCCTCACACCGGGAAAAATGTGAATTGCTTTCTGCAGCGAAGCGCGGTTGCAATGAGCCTAACCTGGCTGTCGGGGCATAGGTAGCTGCTGGAGAGCAGGGGATTAGTTGTTGTAACTACAGCCCCGCTGCAAAGATAAATCGACAAAGAACCTAGTAAAATGGACCGTGTTTAAAAAAAAATACTAATTTGCAGTTGCAAAATCAAATAGCAAAATCTGGAATGAGTTTCCCCCGCACCCTGTGAGCACCAGGCGTTTCTGGGCTGCCTGGGCACATTTGCATGCTTAATTTCTGATAACGCCGCTGCTGGCGCTCGGCCGTCAGGTTGCGTTTTCCCCGGCCCTGTTCTCTTTGCCGTAGCTCTGAGTGTGAGATACGCTGGGCTGATTGATGCTGGCAGGAGCAGACCTTGGGCATGCCAACTTTTGCACTTTCTCGAAGCAATTAATGAGAGCTAAGGTTAATTTTTAGTGTGGCGGGCAGGAGGGCACACGTGCAGCGCGTTGCCGGTGCCTCCTGCTTTGGGGCGTGCGTGTGTGTTTTGCACACCTGCAACCACCTGCGAGGGCATCTTGGAGATAAATGCAGCAGAGTCGCCCGGTTTGGGGTCGGCTCTTAGCCTCACTCGAGCAGTGAGTCACTGTTCTCCTCTGCTCCAAGGTCCCCTGCGAGTTGCCCCCGTTGAGACCCGCGTGAGCAGCTTACCCCGAAATACGAGTTGCGCCCATCGCTCCAGAGCACGGCCAGGTCCGCGTTCTCGAACTCGCCCCGGTCCGACATCCCAAAGAGGAGCCCGAACTTGGGCTCCTTGACCAGCACTTGGAAATGCACCAGGCGCAGCGGGTAGCTCACGTTCCAGGAGAGCTCGAGCAGCCCCTGGGGATCCAGCGGCACCGTGTAGGGGAAGGGGCTCTCCCGCGGAGCCGTCCCTTGCAGGGCCACCACCAGCACCACCAGGAACACGGCGATCATGGTGAAGTACATGGAGGCCACCTCCCGCATCCTGAAGCCGGGGCAGGGCGCGCTCCCGCAGGGCTGCATGCTGCTGCGAGGGACACGAGCGCGTCCCGCTCGTGGCCATTTATGCGCTGGCCGTCCCGGACGAGCCGAGCGAGCCAGGCCCCCTAATTGCATTTGCTGCTTGGGAAATTGGATTGCGCTATCGACCCCCCTCCACCCCGAACCTCCTGGCCAAACACTTGTCATGCTCTGCCTTCGCCTTAATTGGCTCTAATTGCACATGGACATTATCAATAGCAATTGGACTTGACTGTGCTCTGGTTATTTGCTCTTCAATCATCCTTAGCGGCTGCCAAGGGCTCTTCACCTGCGAGCGGCTCCGGCCGAGCCCCACGCTTGGCCCAGCTCTATGTGGCACCCATGTCCCCAGGAGCCTCTCCAGGCTCAGCTTTAGGGAAAACACAATCCCATCTCCCTCGGGCCTCATCCTCGAGCCCCTTCCAGGCAATCTGCGCTGATCTCGTTAAGATCTTGGCCCCGGATCCAAACAGGTTTTTTAGGTGGCCTCTTCCTCCCTCTCCTCCTCCTCTCACCCGGGGTGTGGGGTCCTGTTTTTCTTGTGCCTACATGCAGACACGGAGCTCGTTTTGCTCTGTGCGTGCACCACTCCCTAATGGCAGCTCTATTATAAATAATTATCTGCAACCACCCATTCCCACCACGTAGAAAACCTTTCTCCTTGCTCTTTGCGGGTCTCCCTGGCAGGGCAGATGGACACAGCGCTATCCAAGGGCCACTTCTCTATTTATTTACTCCCTGGTCGCCACCGGGACGTGTTACAGAAACCTCATCAGCCTTGGGCCTGGCAATGCTGAGCAGGGATCATTCCTGGTGCTCCAGCTTTAGGGACAGCTCCCCTGGCTTCCCAAATCCCTCTCCTATCCCCCCTCCAGGGGCTGTGCTGCTTGCAGAGGGCTCCGCAGGGACATGGAGCGGTTTTCCACTTGGAGACGGGAGTATTTTTGGATTGCAGCTCTCGTAGGACCAAACCTCAGCCCTGCTCCTGCCCTTCCTGCTCACGGGTGCACCTGGATCTGCACATTTGGGAGCGCTGGGATGAGCTCCTCCTTTCCAACAGGATCAGCAGGTATAGGGATGAGAGGAGCGTGTCAGCTCAGCACGGATTGTTTGGAGAACGATCCCATGAGGCCAAGTGTCCCGGGAAGGAGGAGGCAAATGGGAGATGCTGCGGGCTTGGAGATCTGCTCTTGTGCTTTCCAGCGATACGACCGGCACAGAGGGGCCCCGATGCTGAACGGGGCCTCCTCTGAGCTCCCACGTGGCAAGTACTGACAGTGCTTTAAATATTTTCCTTGCAAAGCTAAATTTCAAAGAAAAATACCAATTTAATTCTTTTTTTTTTTTCCCAAAACAACCAGAAAACCCTTTCCTCCTCTTCTCTTCCCTCTCTTCTCACTTTGCCCGGTTCATTTCTGGGCAAACCTTGCAAGCCCAGCACAACATCTAAGCCAAAATAAGGATCCCCGGGCAGGGCACAGCTCTTTCCCAGCCCTGGCTCTGCTTGGGGACCTTATCTGTTTCGGGGATATTAAATAGCTGATTTCTCTTTGCTTTTGCAGCGGTTGGAACTTCAGCTTGGGTTTAAACACACCTTGTGCCCCCAACCTCCTGACTCCTTTAAAGCCCCACGTGTTCCCTTTCAGTCATTAGCTTTGGCACGTTAATTGGGACGATAATGAGCTACCTCGAGGTGCCAGTACCCGCGCTCTGTGTCACTTTGCTCTGGTTTTGTTAATGCTGGGGCCTGTGCCAAGCGCTGCTTGCAGACACACGGAGTCCCCTGTCCTGATCCCCTCCAGCTCTTGGGTTTCACTGCGCTCCTCCGAGCAATGTCACGGGGCCAGGGCTCTGTTTCCCAGCCCCGGGAATGGGAGGGAATGGATGCAGCCCAGGGCCAGGGTGTTTTAATGCACCAGGGATGCATCAGCAATGGGCTAATATCGACGAGGTGTCACTGCCCCAGGCGAGGGACATTATCGGGACAGGCGGCGATCGAGCCCGAGCATCTCTCCTTGCCCGGTGACCCACCGGCAAGAGATGCTGCTCCATTGCAAGCACCAGCTGAAGGTCCTGGCGTGCCCAAACATTGCCTCCTTGGACAGATGTCTGTCTGCAATGCAAAAAGCCTTGAAAACTCTCTTTTTGCCCTATTTTAAACCTCCTCCAGGCACAGCCTTGCGCGCTTCTCCCCCTCTCCCCCCGATTGCATGGGGAAAGGAGCCGAGTCTCCTCGGAGAGGGAAGGCTGCTTGGTCCAAGCTCTGCCTCCATCCAGCAGCGATGCAGCCGCCGATGCCTGGCGATGCACGTGGCAATCCCGAGCTTTCCTCTGCAATGGGATTTGCAGCGGAACAGCCCAACGCTGGCAGGTCAGCTCGAAAACAGCTGAACTTGGGAGATAAGCAGGGAGAAGTATTTAAAAAGAATAATTTTGTGTATGTAGATATATATATATATATAATCTTCCCTTCACTTTCTCCCGAGTAGATGCTTACAAATCCGCGGCTCCGTGTGCCCTGCAAGGAGCAGGAGCAGAGACTCGTAGGTAGGAAGGCTTAAGCACAAGTGCTGCTCCGCGTTGGGGATTGAAGCAGGCAGCACCCCTGCGATCCATAATAAATCACCTCGTTGCCATCGAGGTAAAATCCAGTTTGGGCCGGGGAGGAGCCGTGGGCTGCCTGCACGTGGCTCTGGCGGGAGAGCCGGGAAGAGGCCGGGAGTTCGGGGAGGCTCCTTGGGCACCGCTCGGCATCCCGAGCCCTTCCTGCCCGCCGCTCCCTGCGGCTCAGCCACCTAATGAAATCCCACTTGGCTCCGCATGCTATATTAGGGTTACCATGGATATGGTGCCACAAACACGGGGCTCTGCCTTTGTTATATAAACAGGAGAGATTGCCGCAGATACCCGGGGAAGGAGGGGAGGACTAACGTGTCCCTTGGGCTCGCTTATAAAACCTGGGAAGGACTGTGCGGCCGAGGGGATAATTCCAGCGGGAGATGGGAGAGATGCGTGTTTGGGATGTGGGGTGTGATGAAGTGGTGGTCTCAGCCCATGGCAGCAGCGTCCAGGTCAGCATCCCTCCCCTGTCCCCGCATCCCAAGGGACGGGACCTGATGCACATGGATTGATGCAGCTCCATGCCATGAGCTTGGATATCACCAGCAGCTGGCAGGGGACAGGACCAGTGGGTGACGTGGTGGGGACATAAAGTTACCTGCTGTCCCCCACCAACTGCACCTGAGCCTGTTCTGCCCGCGGGTACACAAAGTCCCTGGCACAGCTTGAGGAGTCATGTAACTTGGAGAAGAAGCTGCTCTAGAAATGGAGGTGGGATGTAGGGGAGATGGAAACATCAGAGTGGCTAAAATTGTATTGCACTCCCACTCCCCTGCCAATAAAAACACCATAAATAAAGTGGCTTTGCAATAACCATCTCCACGCATTGTAACACAGAGCCACGTGTCCCTGCAAAAGATGCTCCATGCAGGATAAACGGTAGCTCCCTCCTGCTAGAGAAGCACAAAAAGCTTCTCCCAAGCCAACCACCACCATGAGTCTTCATGTCTTCTCCCCTCAGATGCTGTCACCAAGCCCCCCAACAGCCCATCAGTGGTTCCTTTTCCCACCTTCCATGTTCCTCTATGGGTGACATGCCCATGGTGACATTGCTGCTTCCCATCCCTCATGTCCTTCCAGATGCTCTTCACCTCGGGGCGCTCGCCGAGCCATTAGTTTTCTCTCCTATCACTTTGCTTCTTGGTCCATGCAAATATCTTGCCATGCTTCATTACCTGGTCTGTGGTGAAGAGTGCCGAGTTCAGAAAGATCCCCTTCGTCATCTGAAAACATATCAAACCCAGATTTCACTCGTCAGGCATTCAACACTTGGCATTTCCCTTCTGCAGTACCTGTCACCCCTGATTTTGAGGGCCTTGTCTTAACATTCATGAATCACTCCATCATATGGATGGAGAGGTGGGGAAACGTTCTTTGTTTTGCCAGAAAAGCACAGAAAAAGGAGCTGGAACTCATGGGTCTAGGGGAGGCTTATCTGCCATGGGAGTTGGCACGGGGAAAGGAGGATGCTGAGACATTTTGCCTGGTTTCTGCACCATTTTTTCCCCATTGCCAACCTTTCTCATTGCTTTTCTTTGTAGCCGCTGTTTCCCAGCACTGAGCTGCAATGCAGCATCAGCACCAGGAATTACTACTCCAGAAGAAGACACAGGAGTGGGAGAGCCCCAGGAGTCTGAAGATGGAGCTTTACCAGCTGGGTCGGGGCTCCCAGGCCTTGACCCGCCCTATGTGCTTGATGTTCGCACCAAGCAAGAGAGCAGAGATGAAATATAAGATAGAAATAGTGGATAAATATGAGCTACTTCAGAAAACTCTACTTGATTTCAGTACAGGTAAGTCCTGATAAGTCTTGAACTGCAAAGATTTTGACATCCTTTGATGGGGTCACTAGGCTCAAAAGGGAACTGTTTCCAGTAGACACTGTCTCTTTGGCTTTCCAAAGGCTGGGTGAGAAGATCCTGCCCCATTCCCACCATGGCCTGGCTACTAGGGAAGCCCAGATTAGGCCCCCACTCCTCCCGCAACTTTTCAAACCCCCATATTCCTGCGCCACATTCCTGTGTGTTCCCTGGGACAAGGCCTACCCTGCATGGGGCATGAAGAAATGGGTGCTGAGCATCCTTAAATCCCCCATTCCATTCAGAGAAGAGCTCCAGCCTAGACCCTTGCTCGTGGGTATGGGGAGATGAACACAGTGAGTGTGAAGGACACGGGGCCATCAGCTCCGGCCAAAACAACTCACTTAAGATGCATTTTTTATTTCTTGCTGCTTTGCTAACCATGGCAATGGGTGGCAAGAGGTCCAGCAGAGATGACAAGCTGTGGTTGGGTCTATGGTTGCAGGAGGGCTTCGTTATGAGCCCGGTAGCTCCTATATCCCTGCTCTGCCTGGGGGGGATTAAAGCAGAGGGGAGGAAGGCTGCTATTAAGAGCAGAAATCTGTGAATCAGGCGGCTGTTTTCACCTAAACAAAGCAATTTGTGCCTTGGAAATGCAGCGAGGGTGACTAAGATGCTCCGCAGCCTGATTGTCTGTGACTTTTTAGTGATAATAAGTGTCCTCTGCTAAAAATTAGCTGGTTCCACCACTAGCAGGCACTTAGGTGCTCAACGAAGGGAACATCAGATAATATTGTGGACAGTTTGGTCCCAAGTTTGGAGCAAGGGATGAGGAAAGGGAAAATTTATGGCTGCAGGAACCTGCTTGAATGCGTGAACTTACGGAGGGGTGACACTGTTGGAAGAAAACGGTTGCTTTTAACCTCCAAACTTCGCATCCAACCCACAAATAATTCAGCTCCTGGGCTCTTCTGATCTGTTATCTCGGAGCCGTGGCAGCGCAGGGCACTTTCCCAATGGCGAGGAGGGCAGAAAAGGTGGAGCTGGCCCCTTTCCACCTCTCAGGGTGAGCAAACGGCTCCCTCCTGCAGATCACACGTTAGCATTTTAATTCTGCAAAAATATTGCATTTTAGGGTCTGTGGGACTATGGTTTTCTTTGCATCTGGTCTCCATGCAGCACATGAGGCCCTTGCTCACACTGGAGGCCCTGCATGCTGCTGCAGCACAGAAATAGGTGATAAAACCTTCATAATGGAGATAACTGATCTTCACAGGCTTGCTCTGAGAGCAAGGGGACCTTGCATTAGAGTTCTGGAAAAATATATTGCTCAAGGCAGCCCGAGTGTCTGCGAGTCCTTGTTGTAACATTGGCTTTCCTTGTGTCTGTTCTGTGCTCGGATTAGTGGAGAATTGCTTTGACTTGTTCATTAAAAAAAAAACAACTTGGGAAGCAAGGAGGCTGTTTACTTTAATGCAGGGATGCAGACTTTGGAACTAAAATGAATGGCCCCAAAAGGGACCCTCTAACTCCATCTCTCGTCCCTATTTCTGAGCAAAGATGCAATGATAAACTGCTAGACAACAATGTTTGACCTGCAGAAGTAATAAAGAGCTAAAATTGTATTTTCTTGGCATCGCCCTTCAATATTTTTTTGCTCATAAGCCAAGCAACCTTCAAATGCAACTGTGCAGGAGCCGTGATGCTGGCACTGCAGCCGTAACCAATGCAATCTATAATAATCAAAACCCCAAGTCTTAAATAGACCCTAAAAGGATAAAATAAGCTATTTCTTGTCCCCTTTCTTTCGTTTCTTGTCAGCACCCCGACAGTTTGTGTTTCCTATCCGTGCACAGGCATTTGAACTGAGTACAAAGTGTGCTGAAATTATTGGCAGTAATGAGTTTATTTAGGGAGCAATTAATTAAATGCGACTGTTTCCCCTCTGTATAGATTAAGAGTGCTATAAGTGATATCATCTTAAAAAGAGCAGATGTGTTACAAAAAGGATCCGAGACCAAACATTTTCATCGGGCAGCGAAGACAGAACAAGTGTTCAGGGGCTAAAACGGCAGAAGGGAAATATTAAGTTGGGTGTGAGGAATAACTTGGGAACCATAAGGGATGCCGTGCTCTGGGCAGCGTGTCCCAGCTCCATATGGGGTGTCCCAGCTCCATACGGGGTGCCCCAGCTCCATAGGGGGTGTCCCAGTTCCATAGGCGGTGCCCCAGCTCCCTGTCTGAGGAGATCCAGCTCCCCATTCAGGGATGCTCTGTATCCTGGGGGGTGCCCAGGTCCTTGTGGGGTGTCCTGGCACCCTGAGTGAGGATGCTCCACTCCATTCAGCTCCACGTGGGGTGCCCCTGCTCCATATGGAGTGTCCCTGCCCATACGGGGTACCCCCTGCTCCCTGCATGAGAACGCTCCACTCCATGCAGGTCCATATGGAGTGTCCCTGCTCCATGCACAGGGGTGCTCCGCTCCCTGTAGGGTGTCCCTGCTCCATATAGGGTGTCCCTGCTCCATATGGCATGTCTTTGCCCAAACGGGGTACCCCTGCTCCCTGCATGAGAACGCTCCACTCCATGCAGAGTGCCCCAGGTCCATATGGAATGTCCCTGCTCCTTGTGGGGTGTCCCTGCTCCATATGGGGTGTCCCTTGCTCCATATAGGGTGTCTCTGCACCATGCATGAGGATGCTCCTTTCCACACGGGATACCCCAGCTCCCAGCAGCGTGTCCCTGCCCTAGGAGGGATGCCCCACGCACGGGGGTGCTCTGCTCCATATGGGGTGCCCCCTGCCCCATATGGAGTGCTCCCTGCTCCACATGGGGTGTCTCTGCACCATGCATGAGGATGCACCTCTCCACGTGGGACACCCCAACCCCTTACTGGGTGTCCCTGCCCCATGGGGGGGCACCCCACACACGAGGATGCTCTGCTCCCTGTAGAGTGTCCCTGCTCCATATGGGGTGTCCCCTGCTCCATACGGGGTGCCCCCTGCTCCATATGGGGAGTCTCTGCACCATGCGTGGGGATGCTCCTCTCCACGCGGGACGCCCCAGCTCCCAGCAGGGTGTCCCCACCCCACGGGGGGCGCCCCACGCGCGGGGATGCGGGGCCCCCCACGGCCGCCCCTGCGCCGCCCGCGCGGGCCCACGCGGCGGCTGCG